AGGGGAGGCCGTTGCCTAGGGCAGGCCGTTGCCTAGGGGAGGCCGTTGCCTAGGGGAGGCCGTTGCCTAGGGGAGGCCGTTGCCTAGGGGAGGCCGTTGCCTAGGGGAGGCCGTTGCCTAGGGGAGGCCGTTGCCTAGGGCAGGCCGTTGCCTAGGGGAGACCGTTGCCTAGGGGAGGCCGTTGCCTAGGGCAGGCCGTTGCCTAGGGCAGGCCGTTGCCTAGGGGAGGCCGTTGCCTAGGGGAGGCCGTTGCCTAGGGCAGACCGTTGCCTAGGGGAGGCCGTTGCCTAGGGCAGGCCGTTGCCTAGGGGATGCCGTTGTCTAGGGGAGCCCGTTGCCTAGGGGAGACCGTTGCCTAGGGGAGACCGTTGCCTAGGGGAGGCCGTTGCCTAGGGGAGGCCGTTGCCTAGGGGAGGCCGTTGCCTAGGGGAGGCCGTTGCCTAGGGGAGGCCGTTGCCTAGGGGAGGCCGTTGCCTAGGGGAGGCCGTTGCCTAGGGGAGCCCGTTGCCTAGGGGAGGCCGTTGCCTAGGGGAGGCCGTTACCTAGGGGAGACTGTTGCCTTGGGGAAGCGGGGGGTGGGGAGGGGAGGTGGAGGAGCTGTTGCCGAGGAGACGGCGTTGCCGTCATGGAAACGTGGAGTTGCCACCTCTGGCCCGGGCAGCGAACAGCAGCCGTGGCCTCTGTTGAGGTTCCCCGCTCGCCTGGCGGCGGTGGCGGCGGTGGCGGCGGCGGCGGCGGCGGCGGTGGCGGCGGTGGCGGCTGAAGCGTTTGATGCGGTTCGCGTGGGGTTGAGGCCCGTTGATTTCGCTCGGGGCAGAGTAACCCCCCCCCACCATCCTCGCCCCCTCCTCCTCCCATCCTCGCCCTCCCCCCATCCTCCTATTCACCCCCCCCCCGTTGCCTCCCCCCCCTGTTGCCCCCCCCCACCCCCGCCGTGTTGTGCCCCCCTCGTGCGTTACAAAAGATACCCATCAATGCGGAATCCAGCCTGCGCGCGTGTGTGCAGTGTGTATGTGTATGCTGTGTGTGTGTGGCTGTGTGTGTGTGGCTGTGTGTGTGTGTATGCTGTGTGTGTGTGGCTGTGTGTATGCTGTGTGTGTGCGGCTGTGTGTGTATGTGTGTGTGTATGCTGTGTGTCTGTGGCTGTGTGTATGCTGTGTGTGTGTATGCTGTGTGTGTGCGGTGTGTGTATGTGTATGCTGTGTGTGTGTGGCTGTGTGTGTGCGGTGTGTGTGTGGCTGTGTGTGTGTGGCTGTGTGTGTGTGCGCTGTGTGACTGTGCGCCGTGTGTTACTTTGCACTGTGTGCAGATGTGTGTGTAGCTGTATGGGTTTGGCTTGTGTGTGTGGCTGTGTGTGTGTGTGTGGCTGTGCGCGGCTGTGTGTGTGTGCGTGCAGATGTGTGTTACTGTGTGTATGTGGCTGTGTGTGCAGTTGCGAATGCAACTGTGTGTGCGCTGTGCATGTTACTGTGCGTTTGTGTGGCTGTGTGCTCTGCGTTCCAGTGCTCCGTGTGCCTTTTCCCGTCCCTGAACGCTCAGCAGCAGCAGCAGCCGCAGCCGCCACACTCTTTACCAAACGGCGAGTTTCCCCGGACAATCGGCGGCAGCCAATCGGCACGAGCCGAGCCCCGGGACATTGACCGCCCCGGCGCAGGTCGGGCCGGCAGTCCGACCGGCCGCGGTGACGGCGGTGACGGCGGTGACGGCTGACCGCCCCCCTCCCACCCACCCGCCACTACCGTGCCAGGCCCCACGAGGAATTTATCGCTGGGGTGTGGCCCACGGCTTTTGCTGCTGAACGGACCCGAGCGTCGCCTCCCGGGGGGGGTTGAGGGAGTGGGGAGCGGCGCTCCGCACTTTGGCACCTGTATTGGTGGCTGTAAATTCCTCGCTGGGGTGACCGGGCGCTGGTCAGCGCCGGTTAAACATCACCCGGCACCACGCGCACACACGCGCACACGCGCACACACACCACGTACGCACGCACACACACCACGTACGCACGCACGCACACACACCACACATGCACGCACACACACCACACACACACGCACATACGCACGCACACGCACGCACATGCACGCACACACACTCACACGCACGCATGCGCACACACCACACGCGCGCACACGCGCACTTACACACACACCCGCTCTTACACACACACGCACTCTTGTACACACATATGCGCGCACTTACACGCGCACGTACACACACACACACACGCGCGCACACAGCCAACCGCCGCACTTTGCCGTATCAGCGTTTCCATTCCCACACTGAATTATTAATCGGCGTCTCGTTGGAGAAGATAAACCACACAGCCGTCTTTGTAATGTTTTACCGCGTCGGTTATATTTTGCACAGCGATGTTAACCACCTCGCCTGGCACACAGGAGGTCGTCGTGGGTTCGATCCCGACCCTGCCGCCTGCTGTATATTTGGAGTCTGCGTGTCTCTCTCTCTCTCTCTGTCTCTCCCCGTGATCGCGTGGATTTTCCTCCGGGTCCTACCGGTTTTTCCCTCCATATTTGGAATTAACATCACCACGCGTTCAGAGCATTTAGCTGCTGCTATCAATTTCCACGTGATGATGATGATGATAAGCCACTTCGTTGAGCTATCATTTCTGATAGCCAGGGGGTCGCTTCTGAAATAGAGCTACGTCGCTCAGTGGGGCCTTACCTGGTAAAATAAAAAAAAGATACAGTTCAAATATATATAAAAACTGGAGTATATGGGGGATCTTTGTCCTTGAGTAGTGGATAGGGTGTGTGCGTGGTGTGTAAGAGCGCGTGGGTATATGCAGGGGAAGGATAGCATAACGGTTAACGTGGGTTTCTTCTCTCCACATTTAGAATGCGTTCATAGTATCTGGCTGCCACTATAAATGTCCACGTGATGATGGTGACGATGATGCGCCACTTTCGTTGAGCTGCGGTAATTTTTTTGTGATAGCCAGGGGGTTGCTTCTGAAGAAGAGCCACGTAGCTCTGCGGGGCCTGAACCTGGTCAAATAAAAATAGTTTAGTTTTAGTATGGATCTCGATGAGTATGGGTCCCTGAGTATGGGTCTCTGTGGGTCTCTTGTTTCTCCGAGTGTGTCTCTGTAGGTCTGTATGAGTCTCTGTGGGTCTCTGGGTCTCTGAGTGTGTCTCTGTTGGTCTGTATGGGTCTCTGTGGGTCTCTATGGGTCTCTGAGTATGGGTCTCTGTGGGTCTGTATGGGTCTCTGGGTCTCTGAGTGTGTCTCTGTTGGTTTGTATGGGTCTCTATGGGTCTCTGTGGGTCTCTGAGTATGGGTCTCTGTGGGTCTGTATGGGTCTCTGTGGCTCTCTGTTGGTCTGTATGGGTCTCTGAGTATATGTCTCTGTGGGTCTGTATGGGTCTCTGTGGGTCTCTGGGTCTCTGAATGTGTCTCTGTGGGTCTTTATGGGTCTGGATGGGTCTCTGTGGGTCTTTATGGATCTCTGTGGGTCTCTATGGGTCTCTAGGAGTCTGTAGAAACACACGTTTATAGTATCTGGCTGCTATAAATTCCCACGTGATGATGATGCGCCACTGCGTTGAGCTGCGGTCACTTTTTAGTGATTGCCAGGGGGTCGCTTCTGAAAAAAGCGACCCCCTGGCAATGGGGCCTTACTCTGGTAACAATAAAATAGTTTAGTTTTAGTATGGGTCTGGATGAGTGGGTCTCTGTGGGTCTGTATGGGTCTCTGAGTATGGGTCTCTGAGTATGGGTCTCTGAGTATGGGTCTCTGAGTATGGGTCTCTGTGGGTCTTTATGGGTCTCTGTGGGTCTTTATGGGTCTCTGTGGGTCTGTATGGGTCTCTATGTATGGGTCTTTATGGGTCTCTGTGGGTCTGTGTGGGTCTCTATGGCTCTCTACGAGTCTGTAGAAAAACACATTTATAGTATTTTGGCTGCTATAAATGTCCACGTGATTTTGTCATTGCCAGGGGTTCGCTTCTGAAGAAGAGCTGCTACGTAGCTCAGTGGGGCCCTTAGCCTGGTAACAATAAAATAATAGTTCATGTTTAGCCATCGATTGGTCCGCGTTGTGTGGCGTGGAGTTTCGTGTCGAACTAGGACCCATGCCGAACAGCGGGGAGGGGTGGGGTTTGTTGCCGTTGCCGTTGCCTGTTACACCGCCGGGCGAGCTGACGACGAGACGCCAAATGTGGAAACCCGGGGCCCGGAGTTTCTGTTGCCAGCGTCGGGAACGATCGCCGCTGCGGTTTGTGGCCTAGCAGGGCCCCCACGAGGCCCCAGGCGAGGCCCCCAGCGAGAGGGGCCTCGCGAATCGACCCCGGTTCGATTCCCACTCACGGCCAACACCACCGGTGACGATTATCTGAACCGGTCCTGCGCCTCCCCTAGGTCGACTCGGCCTCAAATGAGTACCCGGTGCTGTGCGGTGTGTAAACGTCGCCACTGGGGAGACAAAGGCGGCCGGGCGTGCTGCTGGCCACCCCACCCCCCTCGTGTGCCGCTGGGATACGTGAGGGGCGCTTTACGCGTTCCCTGTGGAGGCCACGGGCGTGTGTGGGAGGAGGAGGCACAGACGTCCGATCTGTGATTTAAAAAAAAAAAAGACCTTCATGGCTTGTCGGATTCCTTCAGTGTGAATAAAGATTCGGATTTGTGTCTATTCATTGGGTTCTTACTGCGGCGCCAGTGTTCCATCTTGACCTTGTGTGACCTCCCTCGCCCCCTTCCTCTATGGCCCCCCCCTCCATCCCCTCCCCTCCACTTCCTTCTCGCCTCGCCTCCACCCCCCCCCCCCTTCTACTCTCACTCCACTCCCTCCCACCACTTTCCCCCTCTCTCCTCTCCCCCCTTTCTCCCCCCACCCACCATTGTCACCTCCCTCCCTTCCACTCCCCCCCCCTTCTCCCCCCTCCCCCCCCACTTCTCTCCTCCCTCCTTTCACTCCCCCCCACCTTCTCCCTCCTGTCCCCTCACTCCCCGCTCCCCCTCCTCCTCCCCCCTCCGTGCAGCTGAAGATGGATTCCGCAGGAGTGAAGATCCTGGAGACGGCGGAGGACATTCAGGAGCGACGACAGCAGGTGCTCGACAGGTGAGGCTCGCTCACCCGGGCCCCCCGCTCACCCGGGACCCGCTCACCCGGGACCCGCTCACCCGGGACCCGCTCACCCCTGCTCACTCACCCCGGCTTGCTCACCTGGTCCCGCTCACCCTGCCTTCCTGTAACTCACTCACTCGCCCGTCCTCCCTCCCCCATCCTCCCTCCCTCCCCCATCCTCCCTCCCTCCCTCTCCTCCCTCCCCCATCCTCCCTCCCTCCCCTCCCTCTCCTCCCTCCCTCCCCTCCCTCCCTCACCTCCCTCCCTCACCCATCCTCCCTCCCTCACCTCCCTCTCCTCCCCCATCCTCCCTCTCCTCCCCCCGTCCTCCCTCCCTCCCCCATCCTCCCTCCCTCCCCCGTCCTCCCTCTCCTCCCCCCGTCCTCCCTCCCTCACCTCCCTCCCTCCCCCATCCTCCCTCCCTCCCCCATCCTCCCTCCCTCCCCCATCCTCCCTCCCTCCCCCATCCTCCCTCCCTCCCCCATCCTCTCTCCCCCATCCTCCCTCCCTCCCCCATCCTCCCTCCCTCACCTCCCTCCCTCACCTCCCTCCCTCCCCCATCCTCCCTCCCTCCCTCCCCCATCCTCCCTCCCTCCCTCCCCCATCCTCCCTCCCTCCCCCATTCTCCCTCCCCCATTCTCCCTCCCCCATTCTCCCTCCCCCATTCTCCCTCCCCCATCCTCCCTCCCTCCCCCATTCTCCCTCCCTCATTCTCCCTCCCCCATTCTCCCTCCCCCATTCTCCCTCCCCCATCCTCCCTCCCTCCCCCATCCTCCCTCCCTCACCTCCCTCACCTCCCTCCCTCCCTCCCTCCCCCATCCTCCCTCTCCTCCCCCCGTCCTCCCTCCAGATACCACCGCTTCAAGGAGCTGTCGAGCCTGCGGCGGCACAAGTTGGAGGATTCGCGCCGCTTCCAGTTCTTCCGTCGCGATGCCGACGAGTTGGAGAAGTGGATCCAGGAGAAGCTGCAGGTGGCCTCCGACGACAGCTACAAGGACCCCACCAACCTGCAGGTGGGTGGTGGTGGTGGGTGGTGGTGGTGGTGGGTGGTGGGTGGTGGTGGGGCGGGACCAGGGCGGGGAGCCCGGCGGCCCGGGTTCGATTCCCGCTCGCGGCCGACACCGGTGACGGTTGTCTGAACCGGTCGTGGGCCTCCCCTATGTCCACTCGGCATCAAGTGAGTAACCTGGCGCGGTGTGTGAACGTCGCCGCTGGGGAGAGACAAAGGCGGCCGGGCGTGGCGCTGGCCTCCCGCCCCCTCGTGTGCCGTGCCGGCCTTCATAGGTGCTGCTGCTCGCTAACAGCACTCGCCACAAATAGTCTGTTGTGGCTATACGGGGGATCTTTGTCTTTGTGAGTCATTGAGTGATGGTTAGTGAGTGTGAGAGTGATGGTTAGTGAGTGTGAGTGTGATGGTTAGTGAGTGTGATGGTTAGTGAGTGTGATGGTTAGTGAGTGTGAGGGTGATGGTTAGTGAGTGTGAGAGTGATGGTTAGTGAGTGTGAGAGTGATGGTTAGTGAGTGTGATGGTTAGTGAGTGTGATGGTTAGTGAGTGTTAGAGTGATGGTTAGTGAGTGTGAGAGTGATGGTTAGTGAGTGTGATGGTTAGTGAGTGTGATGGTTAGTGAGTGTGAGAGTGATGGTTAGTGAGTGTGAGAGTGATGGTTTGTGAGAGTGATGGTTAGTGAGTGTGAGAGTGATGGTTAGTGAGTGTGATGGTTAGTGAGTGTGATGGTTAGTGAGTGTGATGGTTAGTGAGTGTGAGCGTGATGGTTAGTGAGTGTGAGAGTGATGGTTAGTGAGTGTGATGGTTAGTGAGTGTGATGGTTAGTGTGTGTGAGAGTGATGGTTAGTGAGTGTGAGAGTGATGGTTAGTGAGTGTGATGGTTAGTGAGTGAGTGATGGTTAGTGAGTGTGAGAGTGATGGTTAGTGAGTGTGATGGTTAGTGAGTGTGATGGTTAGTGAGTGTGAGAGTGATGGTTAGTGAGTGTGAGAGTGATGGTTTGTGAGAGTGATGGTTAGTGAGTGTGAGAGTGATGGTTAGTGAGTGTGAGCGTGATGGTTAGTGAGTGTGAGCGTGATGGTTAGTGAGTGTGAGAGTGATGGTTAGTGAGTGTGAGAGTGATGGTTAGTGAGTGTGATGGTTAGTGAGTGTGAGAGTGATGGTTAGTGAGTGTGAGAGTGATGGTTAGTGAGTGTGATGGTTAGTGAGTGTGAGAGTGATGGTTAGTGAGTGTGAGAGTGATGGTTAGTGAGTGTGAGAGTGATGGTTAGTGAGTGTGAGAGTGATGGTTAGTGAGTGTGAGAGTGATGGTTAGTGAGTGTGATGGTTAGTTAGGGTGATGGTTAGTGAGTGTGAGAGTGATGGTTAGTGAGTGTGATGGTTAGTGAGTGTGAGAGTGATGGTTAGTGAGTGTGAGAGTGATGGTTAGTGAGTGTGAGAGTGATGGTTAGTGAGTGTGATGGTTAGTGAGTGTGAGAGTGATGGTTAGTGAGTGTGAGAGTGATGGTTAGTGAGTGTGAGAGTGATGGTTAGTGAGTGTGAGAGTGATGGTTAGTGAGTGTGAGAGTGATGGTTAGTGAGTGTGATGGTTAGTGAGTGTGATGGTTAGTGTGTGTGAGAGTGATGGTTAGTGAGTGTGAGAGTGATGGTTAGTGAGTGTGATGGTTAGTTAGGGTGATGGTTAGTGAGTGTGAGAGTGATGGTTAGTGAGTGTGAGAGTGATGGTTAGTGAGTGTGAGAGTGATGGTTAGTGAGTGTGAGAGTGATGGTTAGTGAGTGTGATGGTTAGTGAGTGTGATGGTTAGTGAGTGTGAGAGTGATGGTTAGTGAGTGTGAGAGTGATGGTTTGTGAGAGTGATGGTTAGTGAGTGTGAGAGTGATGGTTAGTGAGTGTGAGCGTGATGGTTAGTGAGTGTGAGTGTGATGGTTAGTGAGTGTGAGAGTGATGGTTAGTGAGTGTGAGCGTGATGGTTAGTGAGTGTGAGCGTGATGGTTAGTGAGTGTGAGCGTGATGGTTAGTGAGTGTGAGCGTGATGGTTAGTGAGTGTGAGCGTGATGGTTAGCGAGTGTGAGCGTGATGGTTAGTGAGTGTGAGCGTGATGGTTAGTGAGTGTGAGAGTGATGGTTAGTGAGTGTGATGGTTAGTGAGTGTGAGCGTGATGGTTAGCGAGTGTGATGGTTAGTGAGTGTGAGCGTGATGGTTAGTGAGTGTGAGCGTGATGGTTAGCGAGTGTGAGCGTGATGGTTAGCGAGTGTGAGCGTGATGGTTAGTGAGTGCGAGTGAAAGCGAGCGAGCGACACTGAGTGATGGTGCGAGCGAGCGACAACAGTGAGTGTGAGCGTGATGGTTAGTGAGTGTGAGAGTGATGGTTAGTGAGTGTGAGAGTGATGGTTAGTGAGTGCGAGTGAAAGCGAGCGAGCGACAACAGTGAGTGTGAGCATACTGACCTCGGCCCCCTCCCCCGCTACCCCTCCTCCCCACCCCCGTGTGCCCCTCCCACCCCCGCCGCCATCTTCCCCAGGGTAAGATCCAGAAGCACCAGGCGTTTGAGGCCGAGGTGCAAGCCAACGCGGGCGCCATCGTGCGCCTGGACGAGATGGGCAACGGCATGATCTCCGAGAGCCACTTCGCCTCCGACACCATCCGGGTACGCGGCGCCGGCATCGCCGGCATCGCCGCCGCAGCGCTAGCAATGCCGCTCACCGGTGTCGCAGTCGTCACCCTCACCGGCACTGCAACGCCACCCTGGCGACAGCATCGCCATCACCGTCAATCGGCAACATCGTCATCGCCAGCGGCGGTATCGCCGCCGGCGCCGTGACACCACGGCACCTAGGCTGTCTTGCGGCACTGTCACGGCACCGGCGTCGCCACCATCATCACCATCGGCATCACCAGCGCCATCGTCACGATCGTCGCCACCAGCACCATCCTCACCATCGTCATCACGAGCACCAGCACCAGCATCGTCTTCACCAGCACCAGTACCGTCACCACCAGCACCATCGTCACCACCAGCACCATCGTCATCACCAGCAGCATCGTCACGATCGTCGCCACCAGTACCATCGTCACCATCGTCATCACGAGCACCGTCACCAGCACCAGTACCGTCACCACCAGCACCATCGTCACCACCAGCACCACCGTCGTCACCACCAGCACCACCGTCACCACCATCACCGCCGTCATCATCAGCACCATCGTCACCATTGTCACCACCAGCACCACCAGCGCCACCGTCACCACCGTCATCATCGGCACCAGTTTCACCACCGTCATCACCAGCACCGTCGTCGCATCACAAGCACGTGTCGCCATCAACAGCGCCGTCGTTACGGCATCACCGTCACATCACCGGCATCCCATCGGACCGCCGCCACCACCATTACGGCAGCACAGCTCTGCCGATGCTGATGCCGGTGCTGCTGACGCTGCTCGTGGTACCGACGCGAATGCTGACAACGGTGACGCTGCTGCTTGCGCTGCTGCTCCTGCTGCTGCCGGCGGTCCTAATGCTGCTGCCTCTGCCGGCGCTGCAGGCCCGTCTGGAGGAGCTGCGCCGCCTGTGGGAGCTGCTGCTGCTGCGCATGCAGGAGAAGGGCGTGAAGCTGCTGCAGGCGCAGAAGCTGCTGCACTATCTGCGCGAGTGCCACGAGGTCATGGACTGGATCAACGACAAGGTGCGTGGTGGCGCCAGCCGCCACGGCGGTCGGGGGGCGGTCGGGGGGGCGGGTGGGAAGGAAGGGAGTGGGTGGGAAGGGAGTGGGAAGGAAGGGAGTGGGTGGGAAGGGATTGGGTGGGTGGGAAGAGAGTGGGTGGGGAGTGGGTGGGAAGGGAGTGGGTGGGAAGGAAGTGGGTGGGAAGGGAGTGGGTGGGTGGGAAGAGAGTGGGAAGGGAGTGGGTGGGAAGGAAGTGGGTGGGAAGGGAGTGGGTGGGTGGGAAGGGAGTGGGTGGGTGGGAAGGGAGTGGGTTGGAAGGGAGTGGGTGGGGAGTGGGTTGGAAGGGAGTGGGTGGGAAGGGAGTGGGTGGGTGGGAAGGAAGGGAGTGGGTGGGAAGGAAGGGAGTGGGTGGGTGGGAAGGAGGTGGGTGGGAAGGGAGTGGGTGGGAAGGGAGTGGGTGGGTGGGAAGGAAGTGGGTGGGAAGGGAGTGGGTGGGAAGGGAGTGGGTGGGTGGGAAGGGAGTGGGTGGGAAGGGAGTGGGTGGGTGGGAAGGGAGTGGGTGGGTGGGAAGGAAGGGAGTGGGTGGGTGGAAAGGGAGTGGGTGGGAAGGAAGGGAGTGGGAAGGAAGGGGGCGCTAGCGGCACGGCGGTGGATCAGGAGTGATATTGACCCCTTGTCACACCAACAATCCTAAACAATCTCGAGGCACCTTACTAACGCCACAGCGGCCCAGCTCCGCCGAGTTCCTCCACGGCGGCCCAGCTCCACCAGGTTCCGAAGAAGGGGGGCGTGTGGGGGTGGTTAGACGGGGGCAGGCTTGTGGTGGGGGTGGGACCATTTCATCCTCGGCCTTTAGAGGACACATTCCTGGGATGGCCGAGACAGCTGGGATAGCTGGCATAGCACGGGGCAGCTGTCGGGTGCGGTCGGTTAGCGCGCTCGCAAGCCAGCGTCGGCGATGAACATATCCGAACCCGTCCTGGGCTCTCCTCTGGCTCGTGCCACGCTAGGTGCACGCACAAAGACCCCCTGGTGGTGGGGGTGTGCAATCGTCGAGACGGGGGTGGCCGGGCGTGGTGCTGGCCGCTCCCGCCACCCCCGCAGTGCCGGCCTTCGCAGGCGCTGCTGCTCGCTAAACGGCCCCCAACAGTCTGTTAAGGCTACACGGGGGTGGCGGGGGGGTGGAGGGTCGTTGTGCGTGCACCTAGCGTGGCACGAGCGCCGTGGTGACGTCGGCGGTTGTTGTGTTGCGTGTTGGTGGGGAGCGGCGGCGGCGCGGCTGTCACCGCGCCGCGAACCCGGCGGCGCCGAGTTTGATTCCCGCCCGCGTCCGCCAATATCGGCCGGATTTGACGGCGCTCCACCCGCCTCTGAGCGAGCCGCGCCGGCGGCCTCCGCGGGCTGCCGCTCGCTCGCAGCGCTTGCGCCCGGCAAGTCTGCCGAGGCTGCACGGGGGGACCTTTGTCTTTGCGGCCGCCGCTGCCAACCCCCTCCCCACCGCCCGGTCACCCGTGGGCATCGTTGGGTGACGGTGGACCGGGCTGTATCTGGAATGAACCGCTGCCACCAAAAAGGCAAAGACTCCCCCCCCGCCCTTTCCCCGTTATAGCCTGCGGAATGTTGGGCCAAGTGCCGTTAGCGAGGAGCGCCCATGAAGTTGAGTGTGCGGTGTAGTGCTGCCGAGTACGTAGTGGGCGGGCGGTGGAGTCGGTCGTGTGGTGTGCCGGGTGGGTGAGTGGGTGGTGTAGTCAGTGGGTGAGTGGGTAGTGTAGTGAGTGGGTGAGTGGGTAGTGTAGTGAGTGGGTGGTGTAGCAAGTGGGTGAGTGGGTAGTGTAGTGGGTGGTGTGGTGAGTGGGTGAGTGGGTAGTGTAGTGAGTGGGTGAGTGGGTGGTGTAGTGAGTGGGTGAGTGGGTGGTGTAGTGAGTGGGTAGTGTAGTGGGTAGTGTAGTGGGTAGTGTAGTGGGTGGTGTGGGTGGTGTGGTGAGTGGGTGAGTGGGTAGTGTAGTGAGTGGGTGAATGGGTGGTGTAGTGAGTGGGTGAGCGGGTAGTGTAGTGAGTGGGTGAGCGGGTAGTGTAGTGAGTGGGTGAGCGGGTAGTGTAGTGAGTGGGTGAGTGGGTGGTGTCCGTGAGTGGGTGAGTGGGTAGTGTAGTGAGTGGGTAGTGTAGTGAGTGGGTGAGTGGGTAGTGTAGTGAGTGGGTAGTGTAGTGCGTGGGTGGTGTAGCAAGTGGGTAGTGTCTTGAGTGCCAAAAGCCACTCTCCGGTGACGCACACACACAGACATCACACACACACAGACATCACACACAGACATCACACACTAAGACAACACACACACAGACATCACACACACACTGACACAACAACAACAACCGCCATTCGCCACTAAGTGGCGGTGACGTTACCACGATGCTTGTGCCAGGCCATGTGCACATTGAGGCCACGTGAAGTGTCGAACGCCCGCTGGCAGGAGGTCACGGGGCAGACCCAGCAGGTGCCACGGGTGGACTGACTGAGATGACTGAGATGACTGGCTGATGCACCACCTGTGCCCCCTACTGTGCCAACCTGCTGTGCTTTAGCCACTCGGCGCTCCGCTCGTTGTTGTGAGCGTCGCTCCTCCCCCCTCCGTTGTTGTTGGAGGGCGACTGCCTCCAACTGCCCAGTAGCGTCCTTCACGAGCCTCCTCCACAGAGGCCGATCTTGACACCGCTGGTACCAGTCATCGGCAAGTCCACTCAGCTCCACGTCCTCCTGTACCACATCACTCCATCTCTTATCTAGCCCGTGCCGCGCCCGTTTAGCCCCCTCGATCCGGCGGAACAAAAGCTGTTTCGGCATGCGGTGGCTGGTCATGCGGGCTACATGACCCAGCCAACGCAGCCTTGCCTGCCGGAGGAGCTCACCGAGATCTTTCAAGGATTTGTGAGCTCCTCACACAATCCAGTCTGGTTAAACCCAGGATGGATCGTAGGCAGGCTAGCCTAAATGTTTCTAACCGGCAAAGATGTTCCATTAGGGGGGTCCACGTTTCGCAAGCGTAGAGAAGGGAGGGAATGACCGTGGCCGAGAAGACCTGAAGCTTAGTGCGGAGCGACAGACCAGGTAGCTTCCACACAGCATTATGCAACCGATGAATAGATATTGCCGCTCGACTGATTCGGAGTGAGACCTCTGCTGTTAAACTGGAGCCAGTCATAAGCACACTGCCCAGGTATGGGAAACTCTCCACTATCTCCACAACTGCCCCATCACCGATTGGGAGTTGTGGAGGTGGAGTGTCCGATGATACAAAATACCCAGGCAAGTGCTTAGTTTTGGTGGGGCTGATGGTAAGGCCCCATCTCTTAGTGGCACGCTCCAGTCTCAGCAGCAGCGTCTCCAACTCCTCCTCTGAATGAGCAGCTATTACCAAAGACAACACACACATGCACAGACATTGCACGCGCACAGAGCCTTGATTCATGCGCCACCGACCAGCGCTGCCACCTGCACCCCCTAGCGGCCTCCTTCCCCGCCTCCTGCTGCTGCTGCTGCCATCGTGCAGACTCCAGCCTGGCTCGTGAGCACACACACAAAGACAAAGATCCCCCCCCCTGTAGCCTTTAACAGACTGTAGGGGCAAGTGCTGTTAGCGAGCACCTATGAAGGCCGGAACGGTACACGAGGGGGTGGGTGGCCAACACCACCCCCGGCCGCCTTAGTCTCCCCAGCAGAGATGTTTAAACACACCGCACCAGGTGCTCATTCAACGCTGAGTCGACCTAGGGGAGACCGGTTCAGATAATCGTCACCGGATGTTGGCCGTGAGCGGGAATCGTACCTGGGCCGCGGGGTTCGCAGCGCGCTAACCGCTGCACCACCGCTCCCTATCACGCGCACACACTGACATAATGCATGCACGCACACACGGGGAGAGTGGGAGCGAGAGTGAGAGTGGGAGGGAGAGTGAGAGTGTGATGAAGGAAAAAGGGAGAGTGGGAGTGTGACGAAGGAAAGAGGGGAAAGTGGGAGGGAGAGTGGGAATGAAAGGGGGAGAGTGGGAGTGAGAGTGGGAATAAAAGAGGGAGAGTGGGAGGGAGAGAGAGTGTGACGAAGGAAAGAGGAGTAGTGTGAGAGTGGTTAGGAAAGAAGGTTTACTGGGAGTGGGAGTGAGAGTGGGAATGAAAGAGGGAGAGTGGGAATGAAAGGGGGAGAGTGGGAGGGAGAGTGGGAATGAAAGAAGGAGAGTGGGAGGGAGAGAGAGTGTGATGAAGGAAAGAGGAGTAGTGTGAGAGTGGTTAGGAAAGAAGGTTTACTGGGAGGGAGAGTGGGAGGGAGAGTGGGAATGAAAGGGGGAGAGTGGGAGGGAGAGAGTGGGAATGAAAGAGGGAGAGTGGGAATGAAAGGGGGAGAGTGGGAGGGAGAGTGGGAATAAAAGAGGGAGAGTGGGAGGGAGAGAGAGTGTGACGAAGGAAAGAGGAGTAGTGGGAGAGTGGTTAGGAAAGAAGGTTTACTGGGAGGGAGAGTGGGAGTGAGAGTGGGAATGAAAGAGGGCTTGTGGGAATGAAAGGGGGAGAGTGGGAGGGAGAGTGGGAATGAAAGAGGGAGAGTGGGAATGAAAGGGGGAGAGTGGGAGTGAGAATGAAAGAGGGAGAGTGGGAATGAAAGAGGGAGAATGGAGGGAGAGTGAGAATGAAAGAGGGAGAGTGGGAGGGAGAGAGAGAGTGTGACGAAGGAAAGAGTAGTGTGAGAGTGGTTAGGAAAGAAGCTTTACTGGGAGTGAGAGTGGGAATGAAAGAGGGCTTGTGGGAAGGAAAGGGGGAGTGTGGGAGGGAGAGTGTGAAGGAAAGAGCCAGAGTGTAGAGAAGGAAAGTGGGAGAGTGGGGAGGCAGAGTGAGTGAGGCAGAGTTGGGAGTGTGAAGAGGGGGAGAGTGGGAGGTGAGAGTGGGAGGGAGGGGGGGGAGCTGTCGGGATGGCGGTTCCCGTGGGAGCTCTACACAGCTGCTGCTGCTGCTGCTGTCCCGGATGCCGCACTGCCCGGCGGCGGCCATCTTGTGAGCAGGCCTTTGCAGGGCAGCAGCCATTTTGTGTGGAGGCAGGTGGGGTTCCCCCCCCCTCCCTCCTCCCCCCTCCCTCTTCCTCCCCCCCCCTCCCTCTCTCCCCCCTCCCCTTCTTCTCCCTCCCCTCTCCCCCCACCCCTCCATCCTGAACTGTAAGAGGACCAGGGCTTGCAGTTCGGCACCAAGCGGCAGGCCTGGTTCAGTGCTCCAAAGCAGGGGTGGGCCGTCCCTGTAACAGACCGAGAGCCAAAAAAGTAGCCATGACGAGTTCCGCAAAGAGCCAAGTGTATATAAGATGTCTGTGTGTGTGTGTGTATATATTGTCTCTGGAGGGGAGCGGTAGCGTAGCGGTTAGCGCGCTGCGCTATGAACACGGCGACACGGGTTCGATTCCCGCTCGCGGCCAACGCCAGTGACGATTATCTGAACCGGTCCCGGGCCTCCCCCAGGTCGACTCGACCTCAAATGAGTACCTGGTGCGGCGTGTAGTAAACATCGCCACTAGGGAGACAAAGGCGGTCGGGCGTGGAGCTGGCCCACCCACCCCCTCGTGTGCCGTTCTGGCCTTCATAGGTGCTCGCTAACAGCACTTGTCCCCTACAGTCTGTTAAGGCTATATGGGGGATCTTTGTCTCTGGTGTAGGTCAATCGGATTTAAAGGCAATGTACGGGTTATTATCGGAGCACGTTTGTTCGCGTGTTTTACCACTGAGTTGTCCTTCCAACGCACCTCCGAATAGCACGGTTGGCTACGTACGGTGCGAAAGAAGTTCTACATGCATTCATAATTAGACTTGCACAGAGACCCATAGGCTCACATAGAGACCCATAGACTCACACAGAGACCCATAGACTCATCACACAGACCCATAAACTCACACAGACCCACAGACTCATCACACAGACCCACAGACTCACACAGAGACCCATAGACTCATCACACAGATAACCATAGACTCACACAGACCCATAGTTTGTCTTTCCAGCGCACCTCCGATTAGCACGGTTGGCTACGTACGTTGCGAAATAAATTCAACATGCACACGTAACTAGACTCATCACACAGAGAACCCATAGACTCATCACACAGAGAACCCATGGACTCATCACACAGAGACCCATAGACTCATCACACAGAGAACCATAGACTCATCACACAGATAACCATAGATTCATCACACAGACCATAGACTCATCACACAGAGGACCATAGACTCATCACACATAGACCCATAGACTCATCACACAGAGACCCATAGACTCATCACACAGAGACCCTTAGACTCATCACACAGAGACCCATAGACTCATCACACAGAGAACCATAGATTCATCACACAGAGACACATAGACTCACCACACAGAGAACCATAGACTCATCACACAGAGAACCATAGACTCATCACACAGATAACCATAGACTCATCACACAGAGAACCATAGACTCATCACACAGAGACCCATAGACTCATCACACAGAGACCCATAGACTCATCACACAGAGACCCATAGACTCATCACACAAAGACCCTTAGACTCATCACACAGAGAACCATTGACTCATCACACAGAGAACCATTGACTCATCACACAGAGACCCATAGACTCATCACACAGAGAACCATTGACTCATCACACAGAGAACCATAGACTCATCACACAGAGACCCATAGACTCATCAAACAGAGACCCATAGACTCATCACACAGCGACCCTTTAGACTCATCACACAGAGACCCATAGACTCGCACAGAGAGACCCATAGACTCATCACGCAGAGACCCATAGACTCATCAAACAGAGACCCATAGACTCATCACACAGCGACCCTTTAGACTCATCACACAGAGACCCATAGACTCGCACAGAGAGACCCATAGACTCATCACACAGAGACCCATAGACTCATCACACAGAGACCCATAGACTCGCACAGAGAGACCCATAGACTCATCACACAGATAACCATAGACTCATCACACAGAGAACCATAGACTCATCACACAGAGACCCATAGACTCATCACACAGAGACCCATAGACTCATCACACAGAGACCCATAGACTCATCACACAAAGACCCATAGACTCATCACACAGAGAACCATTGACTCACCACACAGAGACCCATAGACTCATCACACAGAGACCCATAGACTCATCACACAGAGACCCATAGACTCATCACACAGAGACCCATAGACTCATCAAACAGAGACCCATAGACTCATCACACAGAGAACCCATAGACTCATCACACAGAGACCCATAGACTCATCACACAGAGACCCATAGACTCATCACACAGAGAACCATTGACTCATCACACAGAGAACCATAGACTCATCACACAGAGAACCCATAGACTCATCACACAGAGACCCATAGACTCATCACACAGAGAACCATAGATTCATCACACAGAGACCCATAGACTCATCACACAGAGACCCATAGACTCATCACACAGAGACCCATAGACTCATCACACAGAGACCCATAGACTCATCACACAGCGACCCTTTAGACTCATCACACAGAGACCCATAGACTCATCACACAGACCCATAGACTCGTCACACAGAGACCCATAGACTTATCACACAGAGACCCACAGTTTGTTGTCCTCCCATCTCACCTCCAATTAGCGGGGAAGGCGTTATCTAGGAGACGGCGTTGCCACCATGGCAACGTGGAGTTGGCGGCGGTGGCGGCGGTGGTGGCTGCAGCGGCTGCAGCGGTTGATGCGGTTCGCGTGGGGTTGAGGCCCGGTTTCGCTTGGTGACGGAGTAACCCTCACCACCCCCCCGTCCCCGTCCCCCATCTCCCCCCACCCCCCAGGAGGCGATCGTGATGTCGGAGGAGCTGGGCCAGGACCTGGAGCACGTGGAGGTCCTGCAGAAGAAGTTTGAGGAGTTCCAGACGGACCTCGGAGCCCACGAGGAGCGAGTCAACGACGTCGACGGCCTCGCCAACAAACTCCTCGAGGTGCCGCCCCCCCCCCCCCTCCCTACACCCCCCACTCCGCCCCCCCCCCCCCCCCCCCCCAGTAGCTGCCGTACGGCATCGTGGAGAACGGGGTTGAAGGCTAACCGGCGCTGGTACCCCGGTCCCCCTTTGCCCTCTGGGCGCAGGAGTCGCACCCCGAGCAGCAGCAGATCGGCAAGCGTCAGGAGGAGCTGACGGCCGCGTGGCTCCGCCTCAAGTCGCTCGCCCTGCAGCGCCAGGAGAAGCTCTTCGGCTCCGCGGAGATCCCGCGCTTCAACAGGTGCGGGCCGGGGGGGGGGGGGGGGCGAGTGGGGGGGTGAGTGGGGGGGTGAGCAAGTGAGTGGGAGGGTGAGTGAGTGAGTGTGGGGGTGAGTGAGCGAGTGGGAGGGTGAGTGAGTGAGTGGGAGGGTGAGTGAGCGAGTGGGGGGGGTGAGTGAGTGAGTGGGGGGGGGTGAGTGAGCTAGTGGGGGGGGTGAGTGAGCGAGTGGGGGGGGTGAGTGAGCGAGTGGGGGGGGTGAGTGAGCGAGTGGGGGGGGTGAGTGAGCGAGTGGGGGGGGGTGAGTGAGCGAGTGAGGGATCCAGCGCTTCAACAGGTGCGGGGCGGGGGGGGGGGGGGGGAGAGTGGGGGGGTGAGTGTGGAGGTGAGTGTGGAGGTGAGTGTGGAGGTGAGTGTGGAGGTGAGTGTGGAGGTGAGTGTGGAGGTGAGTGTGGAGGTGAGTGTGGAGGTGAGTGTGGAGGTGAGTGTGGAGGTGAGTGTGGAGGTGAGTGAGAGATCCGGCGCTTCAACAGGTGCGGGGTGAGCGGGGATTGAGCAGAGGGTGGAGGTGAGTGAGCGCGGACGAGTGAGTGAGAGACGTGGGTCGGTGGAGTGAGCGAGCATGCGAGTGGGTGAGTGAGGGCGCGAGTGAACGAGAGGGTCGGTGATCGGGCGAGCGAGTGGGCGAGCGAGAAACGAGGCGAGCGAGCGAGTGAGTGAGGACTGACGAGAGCGGGTGAGTGAGCAAGAAACAAGATGGGCGAGTGGAACGAGACCTTTGGTCGCTGATGCCCAGCGAGCTGGCGGGCTAGCGGGTGAGAGACAGAGCGAGCCAGTGAGTGACAGAGCGGGTGAGTGAGTGACAGAGCGGGTGAGTGAGTGACAGAGCGGGTGAGTGAGTGACAGAGCGAGCCAGTGAGTGACACAGCGGGTGAGTGAGTGACAGAGCGGGTGAGTGAGTGACAGAGCGAGCCAGTGAGTGACAGAGCGGGCGAGTGAGTGACAGAGCGGGTGAGTGAGTGACAGAGCGGGTGAGTGAGTGACAGGGCGAGCCAGTGAGTGACAGAGCGAGCCAGTGAGTGACAGAGTGGGTGAGTGAGTGACAGGGCGAGCCAGTGAGTGACAGAGCGGGTGAGTGAGTGACAGAGCGAGTCAGTGAGTGACAGAGCGGGAGAGTGAGTGACAGGGCGAGCCAGTGAGTGACAGAGCGAGCCAGTGAGTGACAGAGTGGGTGAGTGAGTGACAGGGCGAGCCAGTGAGTGACAGAGCGGGTGAGTGAGTGACAGAGCGGGTGAGTGAGTGACAGAGCGGGTGAGTGAGTGACAGAGCGGGTGAGTGAGTGACAGAGCGGGTGAGTGAGTGACAGAGCGAGCCAGTGAGTGACAGAGCGGGCGAGTGAGTGACAGAGCGGGCGAGTGAGTGACAGAGCGGGTGAGTGAGTGACAGGGCGAGCCAGTGAGTGACAGAGCGAGCCAGTGAGTGACAGAGTGGGTGAGTGAGTGACAGAGCGAGCCAGTGAGTGACAGAGCGGGTGAGTGAGTGACAGAGCGGGTGAGTGAGTGACAGAGCGGGTGAGTGAGTGACAGGGCGAGCCAGTGAGTGACAGAGCGAGCCAGTGAGTGACAGAGTGGGTGAGTGAGTGACAGGGCGAGCCAGTGAGTGACAGAGCGGGTGAGTGAGTGACAGAGCGAGCCAGTGAGTGACAGAGCGGGTGAGTGAGTGACAGAGCGAGCCAGTGAGTGACAGAGCGGGTGAGTGAGTGACAGAGCGAGCCAGTGAGTGACAGAGCGGGTGAGTGAGTGACAGAGCGAGCCAGTGAGTGACAGAGCGGGTGAGTGAGTGACAGGGCGAGCCAGTGAGTGACAGAGCGGGTGAGTGAGTGACAGAGCGGGTGAGTGAGTGACAGAGCGAGCCAGTGAGTGACAGAGCGGGTGAGTGAGTGACAGAGCGAGCCAGTGAGTGACAGAGCGGGTGAGTGAGTGACAGAGCGGGTGAGTGAGTGACAGAGTGGGTGAGTGAGTGACAGGGCGAGCCAGTGAGTGACAGAGCGAGCCAGTGAGTGACAGAGTGGGTGAGTGAGTGACAGAGCGAGCCAGTGAGTGACAGAGCGGGTGAGTGAGTGACAGAGCGAGCCAGTGAGTGACAGAGCGGGCGAGTGAGTGACAGAGCGGGTGAGTGAGTGACAGAGCGAGCCAGTGAGTGACAGAGCGAGCGAGTTGGTGACAGAGCGAGCCAGTGAGTGACAGAGCGAGCCAGTGAGTGACAGAGCGGGCGAGTGAGTGACAGAGCGAGCGAGTTGGTGACGGAGCAGGCGAGCGAGCAAGAAACAAGATGGACGAGTGAGCGATAGTGTCGATGAAGTGAGGTGCCGGGCGAGTGGGCGAGCGGGCGCGGTTTGGTTGACAACCCCCCCTCCCACCCCCACCCCCCGCCTCCCCTCTCCCCCCTCTCCTCTCCCCTCTCCCCCCTCACCCCAACCCAGGGATGTGGACGAAGCGATCGGCTGGATCAAGGAGAAGGAGCAGCTGATGTCGTCCAACGATTTTGGCCGCGACCTTGCCGGCGTGCAGGCGCTGCTGCGCAAGCACGAGGGGCTGGAGCGTGAGCTCGCCGCGCTCGAGGACAAGGTGGGTGGGGGGTGGTGGGTGGAGGTGGTGGGTGGAGGTGGAGGGGGGCCCTTCCTCCTTGTGAGGAGAGGCGGTGCGGAGGTTTGGCACGCTCGCCACGCCGCTCCGTCGCATGCGCCGTGCCGGCCTGGACGGGCACCGCTCGCTATCGACGCTTATCGCCCTGACGGGTCTGTTTAAAGGCTACCTGGGGGATCTTAGTCTTTGTGTGTGTGTGTGTGTGCGCGACCCGGCCTCAGATGAGTACCTGGTACGGTGTGTAAAATCATCGTCAAATGAGTACCTGGTGGTACGGTGTGTAAAATCATCGTCAAATGAGTACCTGGTGGTACGGTGTGTAAAATCATCGTCAAATGAGTACCTGGTGGTACGGTGTGTAAAATCATCGCCACTGGGGAGACCAAGGCTGCCCGGCCGTGGTGCTGGCCACCCATCCCCTCCGTGTACCTTTATGGCCACCATAGATGCTCGCTAACAGCACTTGCCCCAGTAGTCCGTTAAAGGCTACACGGTGGTGAGATGTTGACTCCCTCGCCTGGTATGCAGGAAGTCGTGGGTTCGATCCCGATCCCTGACTATGCCTCCTGTCCATTTGGAGTCTGCATGCTTCTCTCTCATCATCATCATCACGGTGGCTAGGAGATGTTGACTACCTCGCCCGGTCTAAAGGCTGTCGTGGGTTCGATCCCGACCCTGACGACGCCTGCTGCTGCTGTATATTTGGAGTCTGCGTGTCTCTCTTATCATCATCATCATCACGGTGGCTAGGAGATGTTGACTACCTCGCCCGGTCTAAAGTCAGTCATGGGTTCGATCCCGACCCTGATCACGCCTGCTGCTGCTGCTGTATATTTGGAGTCTGCGTGTCTCTCATCATCATCATCACGGTGGTGAGGAGATGTTAACTACCTCGCCTGGTATACAGGAGGTCGTGGGTTGGACCCCGACCCTGAAATAAGAATAAAATGTCGGGTCCAACGGGGTTGTGTTTGTGTTGTGGCGTGCGCGTAGGTGGGGACGCTGTGCGCGGAGGCGGAGCGTCTGCAGAAGAGCCACGCGGCCAGCGCCCCGCAGATCCAGGTGAAGCGCGAGGAGCTCATCGAGAACTGGGAGTGCATCCGCAACACGGCCATCGACCGGCACACGCGCCTCGAGGACTCGTACAAGTGAGCCGGCACGCCGCGGCGCACGCACCTCCGATGAGCACGGTTGGCTACGTGTCGGTGCGAAAGAAGTTTAACGTACAAAGATAAACACGCACCACTTTGACCCCAGATACCCACACTGCTGCCCCCCCCTCCCCCAACCAGGCTGCAGCGCTTCCTGGCGGACTTCCGCGACCTCACCAGCTGGGTGACGGAGATGAAGGCGCTGATCGGCGCCGACGAGCTGGCCAACGAGGTGGCGGGAGCCGAGGCCCTGCTGGACCGCCACCAGGAGCACAAGGTGCCGCTCCCCTCGGAGTCGCGGTTTCGCCCCCTGGGGGTCGTGGTGCCGCCCCCCCTCGGCGTCACGGTGCCGCCCCCTAGGGGTCGCGGTGCCGCCCCCTAGGGGTCGCGGTGCCGCCCCCTAGGGGTCGCGGTGCCGCCCCCTAGGGGTCGCGGTGCCGCCCCCTAGGGGTCGCGGTGCCGCCCCCTAGGGGTTGCGGTGCCGCCCCCCTCGGCGTTACGGTGCCGCCCCCATCGGCGTTATGGTGCCGCTCCCCTCGGCGTCGCGGTGCCTCCCCCTAGGGGTCGCGGTGCCGCCCCCTAGGGGTCGCGGTGCCGCCCCCTAGGGGTCGCGGTGCCGCCCCCTAGGGGTCGCGGTGCCGCCCCCTAGGGGTCGCGGTGCCTCCCCCTAGGGGTCACGGTGCCTCCCCCTAGGGGTCGCGGTGCCGCCCCCAGCCTGCGGTGCCACCCCCTCGGCGTTACGGTTGCCGCCCCCCTCGGCATGCGGTGCCCGCTGGCCCCCTCCTCCGTGCACCTCCGGTTGATTGGCACGGTTGGCGACGCACGGTGGGAAAACACGGGGGGTGGGGGTGGGGGGGCGGGGGAGGGTTCAACGTGCAGGCACACGCGGCACGGCCGGCTACTGAGCTCCCGAGTGCTCGTGAGCAGCAGCCGCCCCTTGGCGGCGCTCTCGCCGGAGGCTACACGGGGGGGACCCTTTGCCTTTGACCGTGCACAGGGGGAGATCGACGCCCACGAGGACAGCTTCAAGTCGGCCGACGCGGCCGGGGAGGCCCTGGTGCACGCGAACCACTACGCGTCGGAGGAGGTGCGCGAGAAGGTGAGGCCACCAGCACCGCCTACACGGCCACCGCCTACACGGCCACCGCCTACACGGCCACCGCCTACGTCACAAAACCACCGAGACCATAACCACCTGCACCAGGGGTGGGGAACGCTCCGGCCTGCGGGCCGTATGAGGCCCGTGAAATCGTTTGGGTCTGGCCCCGCCAAGGCAACCGCGGGCGGGGACTCGAAATTCAATAAATCTAGGAGAGCAAACCTGGAAAAGCAGTCGCGAGCAGCGACAACATCGTCAATACCGGCTAACATCGTCACCACGCCTCGCCAAAGAGAAGCAGTTCCAGCCCCATCGCATTAGGGGCGAGTTAATGAAATGTTTGACCAACTATAACGGGCTAATTTTTAACTTGATCATTTTGTATGGCCCGCGAATGATGTTATATAAATATCCAAATGGCCCTTGGCAGAAAAAAGGTTCCCCGCTCCTGACCTAGACCATAACCACCTTGACCACAACCACCTGTACCATAACCACCTGTACCACAACCACCTACACCATAACCACCTTTACCACAACCACCTGTACCACAACCACCTGTACCACGACCACCTGTACCACAACCACCTACACCACAACCACCTGTACCACAACCACCTACACCATAACCACCTGTACCACAACCACCTGTACCACAACCACCTGTACCATAACCACCTCGACCACAACCACCTCGACCACAACCACCTGTACCACAACCACCTGTACCACAACCACCTGTACCACAATCACCTGTACCACGACCACCTCGACCACAACCACCTGTACCACAACCACCTGTCCCACGACCACCTGTACCACGACCACCTGTACCACGACCACCTCGACCACAACCACCTGTACCACGACCACCTGTACCACGACCACCTGTACCACGACCACCTGTACCACTACCACCTCGACCACGACCACCTGTACCACGACCACCTGTACCACGACCACCTGTACCACGACCACCTGTACCATAACCACCTGTAGCATTACCACCACAACCATCTACACCGCAACCGCATACACCGCCACAACCGCCTATACCACCACGACCGCCTTTACCACCACAACCGCTGTGCCCGCACCGGGGAGATGCTGACAACCACACCGTGTGTTTGTATGCTCAGCCGGGCGTGGTTACTGGCTACATCCAACCAACCTCGTGTGCCGCAGTTGCCGGCCTTCGTAGGTGCTACGACTCGCTGACGGCACTTGCCACCAACAGTCTGTTAGGGCTACAGGGGGGACCTTTATCTTTGTGTGTCTGTGGGTAGTATTGTGTGTGTGGGTAGTATTGTGTGTGTGGGTAGTGTCTGTGGGTAGTATTGTGTGCGTGTAGTGTCTGTGTGTAGTATTGTGTGTGTGGGTGGTGTCTGTGGGTAGTATTGTGTGTGTGTGAGTAGTGTCTGTGGGTAGTATTGTGTGTGTGTGGGTAGTGTCTGTGGGTAGTAGTGTGTGTGTGAGTAGTGTCTGTGGGTAGTATTGTGTGTGGGTAGTGTCTGTGGGTAGTATTGTGTGTGTGTGGGTAGTATTGTGTGTGTAGTGTCTGTGGGTCGTATTGTGTGTGTGGGTAGTGTCTGTGGGTAGTAGTGTGTGTGTGAGTAGTGTCTGTGGGTAGTTTTGTGTGTGTGATTAGTGTCTGTGGGTAGTTAGTTGAGTGTGTGTGTGAGTAGTGTCTGTGGGTAGTTTTGTGTGTGTGATTAGTGTCTGTGGGTAGTATTGTGTGTGTGTGGGTAGTGTCTGTGTGTAGTATTGTGTGTGTGAGTATTGTCTGTGTGTAGTATTGTGTGTGTGGGTAGTGTCTGTGTGTAGTATTGTGTGTGTGTGGGTAGTGTCTGTGTGTAGTATTGTGTGTGTGTGGGTAGTGTCTGTGGGTAGTATTGTGTGTGTGTGGGTAGTGTCTGTGTGTAGTATTGTGTGTGTGGGTAGTGTCTGTGTGTAGTATTGTGTGTGTGTATGAGTAGTGTTGTGTAGTATTGTGTGTGTGTAGCATCTGTGTAGTATTGTGTGTGTGTGTAGCGTCTGTGTGTAGTATTGTGTATGTGTGTGTGTAGTGTCTGTGTGTAGTATTGTGTGTATGGGTAGTGTTTGTGGGTAGTATTGTGTGTGTGGGTAGTGTCTCTGGGTAGTGTCTGTGGGTAGTATTGTGTGTGTGTGTAGTGTGTGTGTAGTATTGTGTGTGTGGGTAGTGTCTGTGTGTAGTATTGTGTGTGTGGGTAGTGTCTGTGGGTAGTATTGGGAGTGTGTGTGTAGTGTCTGTGTAGTAGCGTCTGTGGGTAGTATTGTGTGTGTGGGTAGTGTTTGTGGGTAGTGATTGTGTGTGGGTAGTGTCTGTGGGTAGTATTGTGTGTGTGTGTAGTGTCTGTGTGTAGTATTGTGTGCGTGTGTAGTGTCTGTGGGTAGTATTGGGAGTGTAGTTGTGTTGAGCGGTGGGGTGCCAGTCTGGGAGCTTGCACACGGCTCCCTCATGGCCTCCACGCGGCCTCCGTGGCCTCCACGCGGCCTCCGTGGCCTCCACACGGCCTCCGTGGCCTCCACACGGCCTCCCGCGCGGCCTCCACACGGCCTCCCGCGCGGCCTCCACACGGCCCTCGCCCTAACGGTGACCTTTGCCCCTGCAGTTGACGGTGCTGGCGGAGGAGCGCACGGCGCTGCTGGAGCTGTGGGAGGCGCGGCGCCAGCTGTACGAGCAGTGCATGGACCTGCAGCTCTTCTACCGCGACACTGAGCAGGTGGACAACTGGATGAGCAAGCAGGAGGTTGGTCCCCTTCCACCACCCTGCCCCCCCCCACCCCACCACCACCGCTCTCTCCCCACCACCACCATCACCGCGCTCTCCCCACCACCCCCACCATCGCCACGCTCTTCCCACCACCACCATCACCGCGCTCTCCCCACCACCCCCACCATCACCATCGCCACGCTCTTCCCACCACCACCATCACCGCGCTCTTCCCACCACCATCACTGCACTCTCCCCACTACCACCATCTCCACGCTTTCCCCATCACCACCATCGCCGCACTCTCCCCATCACCATCACCGCGCTCTCCCCACCACCACCATCACCGCGCTCTCCCCACCATCACTACCATCACCGCGCTCTCCCCATCACCACCATCACCACCACCGCGCTCTCCCCACCACCACCATCACCACGCTCTCCCCACCCCACACCACCACTATCACCACGCTCTCCCCACCCCACACCACCACCATCACCACGCTCTCCCCACCACCCCCACCACCACCATCGCCATTGCGCTCTCCCCACCACCACGACAATGGCCACCGCGCTCTCCCCACCACCGCCGCGCACTACACTGCACTACCATACACACCACGCTAGACCCACCGCACCCACCGCACCCACTGCACCGGCAGCACCACAGCAGAGGTCGCGCCGCTGATGGCCCCGCACGCGATCGCGGGGCTGTCTTGGATGGCCCGGACGGGTTTCCGACGCGCGTCTCTCTCTCTCTCTCTGTCCCTCCGCCCCACCCTCAACCCCCCCCCCCCCCCGTGCGTGCCCCAGGCGTTCCTGCTGAACGAGGACCGCGGGGACTCCCTGGACAGCGTCGAGGCCCTGCTCAAAAAGCACGAGGACTTTGAGAAGTCGCTGAGCGCCCAGGAGGAGAAGATCACGGTGAGGCGGTGGCGCGCGGCCAGGGGCAGCCGCCCTGGGGCAACCGCCCTGGGGTCACCACCCTGGGGTCACCACCCTGGGGTCACCACCCTGGGGTCACCACCCTGGGGTAGCGACCGCGGGGTTGCCCCAGGGTGATGATGATTGTGGTGATGACGGTGCTGGGTGAAGGCGACGCTGGTGTTGATATCTCACTGCTGCTGCGACCGATGATGCTGCTGCTGCCGATGTTGCTGCTGCGACTGCTGATGATGATGCTGCTGCTGATGATGATGCTGCCGCTGCTGCTGCTGCGACTGATGATGCTACCGCCGCCGTCGCTGCTGCTGACAATGCCGACGGTGGCGACGCTGACGATGCCGACGATGCCGACGCTGACGATGCTGACGCTGCTTTCTCGCCACCCACCGCAGGCGCTGGAGGAGTTTGCGACGAAGCTGATCCAGGCCGGGCACTACGCCCGCGACGACGTGGCGGCCCGGAGGGACGCGGTGAGCACCCCCCCCCCCCTCTCCTTGTCGCGCCGGACGATCGCCACATGTGCACGAGATCATGATTGCTGCTGCTGTGTCGGTTTTTTTAATGGGGTGCCGTGGTGGCTAGGAGATGTTGCTGTAGATTTGGAGTCTGCGTCTCTCTCTCATCATCATCATCATCACGGTGGCTAGGAGATGTTAACTACCTCGCCTGGTGTGCAGGAGGTCGTGGGTTCGATCCCGACCCTGACGACGCCTGCTGTATATTTCGAGTTTGTATGTCTCTCTAATCATCATCATGGTGGTTAGGAGATGTTAACTACCTCACGTGGTATACAGGAGGTTGTGGGTACCACTCCAGCCCTCACGACGCTTGCTGCTGCACTGTTGGAGTGTGTGTCTGTCTCTCTCTGTCCGTGGTCTCGTGGATTTTCCTCCGGGTCATCCGTTTTTTTTTCCTTCCCACATTTCGAATCGACGTCGCGCGTTTTAGAGTATTCAGCTGCTGCCCGAAATGTCCACGAGATGACGATAAGCCACCTCGTGGGGGCTATCATTCGCGGTGGCCAGTTGCGCTTCTTAAAAAGAGCTACGTAGCTCAGTGGGCCTTGCCTGCTAAAATAAAAATAAAAGAGTTTAGCGTTTTAATTTCTAGAAGTGTTGGTTCACTACGGTGGCAAGCGACGGCAGACCTCTCGTTCCGAAGGACGTCACGGGGAATCTCCGTGATGGCGCGGAGTAGTATTATTATTACCACTACTACTATGGTGAACAAGCGCCACCGTCACCGCAGTATTAACCAGGGCGGCCTGCCGGATTCGAACCGTGAACCCTCTGCGACAATGAGCGGCGAAGGTGTGTGCCGCCCATGGGCGACGGTCACCGGCCGAAAAGTGCGCGAGGATCGATGAGTGAATTTTAACCGTGCTGCATGTGTGCTGCGTGCGTGTGCTGCGTGCGTGTGGATGTGCCGCTTGACACGTGTGTGTGTGTGTGTGCTGCGCGTGTGCGGATGTGCCGCTTGACACGTGTGTGTGTGTGTGCGCTGCGCGTGTGCGGATGTGCCGCGCGTGTGCGGATGTGCCGCGTTCCCCGTGTGTGTGTGTGTGTGCTGCGCACGTGTGGATGTGCCGCTTGACACGTGTGTGTGTGTGTGTGTGCTGCGTGCATGTGGATGTGTTGCGTGCCACGTGTGTGTGTGCTGCGTGCGTGTGTGTGTGCTGCACGCGTGCTGCGTTCGTGTGCCGCGTGTGTGCCGCGTGTGTGCCGCCCGTGGCAGCTGGTGGCGCGGCGGAACGCGCTGCACGAGCGTGCGCTGGCGCGCCGCGCCGCCCTGGAGGACTCGTACCGCCTGCAGCAGTTCTGTCGTGACGCCGACGAGCTCAAGAGCTGGATCAACGAGAAGATGAAGACGGCCACTGACGAGTCCTACAAGGTGGGTGGCCCCCCCCACCACCCCCCCTCCCTCACCTCCCTCCCTTAACCCTCCCTCCCATCTTCTTCTCTTCCACGTCCTCCTGAACCCTCCTCCTCGTCCACCCTCCTCCTCCACCTTTTACCTTCCTCCCCCCACCCCCGTCTATCCCCTTCGCCCCCCTCCTCTTTCCCTCCCGATGCTCCTTTTCATCATCATCATCGTCGTCGTCCTGCTCGTGCGTGACGCCCCATCGTGTCACCGTGCGAGCCGCACCGTCTCGTCGCCCAGCGTCACCGCCCGCCCCGCCCCCCTCCCTTCTGTTCCCCCCCCCCCCCCCCCCCCCCCCAGGACCCCACAAATCTGCAGGGCAAGGTGCAGAAGCACCAGGCGTTTGAGGCGGAGCTGTCGGCCAACCAGAGCCGGCTGGAGGCGCTGCAGCAGGGCGGGCAGGAGCTGGTGGAGGGGCGGCACTACGCGGCGGACGACGTGGCCGAGCGAATGCGCGAGGTGCAGGAGCTCTGGGCCCGGCTGCAGGACGCCTCCGAGCTCAAAGGTGGCAGCGCCAACGCCGTCGTCACCGCCAATCCCAACTCCATCATCGTCACCACCAACCCCAACTCCATCATCGTCACCACCAACTCCATCATCGTCACCACCAATGCCAATTCCATCATTGTCACCACCAATCCCAACTCCATCACGTCACCACCAATACCATCTCCATCATCGTCACCGCCAATGCCAACTCCATCATTGTCATCGTCACCACCAATCCCAACTCCATCATCGCTAGTGCCAACTCCATCATTGTCACCACCAATCCCAACTCCATTATCGTCACCACCAATGCCAACTCCATCATTGTCACCATCAATCCCAACTCCATCATCGTCACCGCCAATACCAACTCCATCATCATCACCGCCAATGCCATCATCGTCACCACCAATCCCAACGCCATCATCGTCACCGCCAATACCAACACCATCATCGCCACCACCAATCCCAACTCCATCATCGTCATCGTCACCACCAATGCCAACTCCATCATCGTCATCGTCACCGCCAATACCAACTCCATCATCGTCACCACCAATCCCAACGCCATCATCGTTACCACCAATACCAACTCCATCGTCATCGTCACCACCAATGCCAACTCCATTATTGTCACCACCAATGCCATCATCGTCACCACCAATCCCTATTCCATTATCGTCACCATACCCAACTCCATCATTGTCACCACCAATGCCAACTCCATCATCGTCATCGTCACCACCAATCCCAACTCCATCACGTCACCACCAATACCAACTCAATCATCGTCACCGCCAATACCAACTCCATCGTCATCGTCACCACCAATCCCAACTCCATCACGTCACCACCAATCCCAACTCCATCATCGTCACTACCAATCCCAACGCCATCGTCCTTACCGCCAGCACCAACGCCATCGTCGTTACCACCAATGCCGTCATCGTCAATGCCAGTGCCAACGCCATCGTCGATGTCTCTTTGCCTTGTCGCGCGGCGTAGGCGTGAAGCTGCGTGAAGCCAACCAGCAGCAGCAGTTCAACCGCAACGTGGAGGACATCGAGCTGTGGCTGTACGAGGTGGAGGGCCACCTGGCCTCCGAGGACCTCGGCAAGGACCTGACCAGCGTGCACAACCTGCAGCGCAAGCACGCGCTGCTCGAGGCCGATGTAGCGGCGCACCAGGTGCGATGGGGCACGCGCCCCACGACCGTCGATGGGTCGTCGTCGTCGTTGTCTCAATCGCTCGCCCACCGCCTCGCCCGCTCAGCCACTCGCTCACTCGTTTGCTCGTTCACTCACTTATTCACTCGCCCACTCAATAGCCCACTCACTCGCCCACCCACTCGGCCACCCACTCGCCCACTCACTCGCCCACTCAATCGCCCACTCAATCGCCCACTCAATCGCCCACTCAATCGGCCACTCAATCGCCCACCCAATCGCCCACTCACTCGTCTACTCACTCGCACTTATTCACCCACCCACTCATCGCCCACTCACTTGCCCACTCGCACTCATTCACTTACCCACTCATTCACTCTCACATTTATTCACTCACTCGCCCACTCACTCTCTTGCGTACCCACTCGCCCACTCACTCGCCCATTCACCCACTCGACCACTCACTCGCCCACTCACTCTCTTGCGCACCCACTCGACCACTCACTCGCCCACTCACTTGCTCGTGCACCTAATTGCCCACTCACTCGCCCATTCACCTGCCCATTCACTCACTCACTCAACTTATTCACTCACCCACTCATTCACTCAACCACTCATTCGCGCGAACAAGAAGATTCCCCCCCCCCTCCGTCCTTGCAGTCGCTCGACTACTTCTCGCCTGCCTTGAAACCAAACTCGAACCTTGAACTCTCGCCCCGCCCGCCCGCCCGCCCCACCCTTTGCCAGGACCGTATCGACGGAGTGAGCATCCAGGCGAAGCAGTTCCAGGAGGCGGGTCACTTTGACGCGGACGCCATCCGCACCAAGCAGGAGGACCTGGTGGGTCGCTACGAGGCCCTGCGCGAGCCAATGGCCGCGCGCAAGCAGAAGTTGGCCGACTCGCTGCGCCTGCAGCAGCTTTTCCGTGACACCGAGGACGAGGAGACCTGGATCCGCGAGAAGGAGCCCGTGGCGGCCTCTACCAACCGAGGTGAGTCGGGGCGGAGGGCTGTAGTGCATTGGCTCTACCAACTGTGAGGCGAGGGCATGGGGGGGGGGGCGTGTGTGGGCTCTACCAACTGTGGTGAGGTCATGGGGGGAGCGATTGGTGGGGAGTGTGGGCTTTACCAACCGAAGTGAGGGGGGGGGCGTGCGTGGGCTCTACCAACTGAGGCGAGGTCATGGGGGGGGGGGGGCGTGCGTGGGCTCTACCAACTGAGGCGAGGTCATGGGGGGGGAGTATGTGGGCTCTACCAACTGTGGTGAGGTCATGGGGGGGGCGATGGGTGGTGAGTGTGGGCTTTACCAACCGAAGTGGGAACAGAGGGGGGTGGGGGGGGGCGTGTGTGGGCTCTACCAACTGAGGCGAGGTCATGGGGGGGGAGTGTGTGGGCTCTACCAACTGTGGTGAGGTCATGGGGGGGGCGATGGGTGGTGAGTGTGGGCTCTACCAACCCAAGGGAGTGGGATGACGGGGTGGGGGAGGGGCGCGTCCGTGGGGTCTACCAACTGTGGTGTGGTCATGGGGGGAAGTGTGGGTTCTACCAACTGAGCACCTGAGGTCGGGGGTGGAGGGGGGAGAGTGTGGGCTCTACCAACTGAGATGAGGGCATGGTGGCAGGGGTGGGGGGGGATTGTGGACTTTACCACCGCGCCTGAATGCTGCTGCTGCTGCTGCTGCTCGTCCCGCGTCTGCAGGCAAGGACCTGATCGGCGTGCAGAACCTGCTCAAGAAGCACCAGGCGCTGCAGGCGGAGATCGCGGGGCACGAGCCGCGCATCCGCGCCGTCGAGCAGAAGGGGGGCGCCATGGTGGACGAGGGTAGGGCGCTCACCCGCGGCACCGCCACCGGCCACTTTTCACCGCGCCCGGCGCGACGCCGTGACCGATTCGCGGCACCGTACCCACCACACCACCACGACCGCCGCAATCCTACCGCGCCCGGCCTGACGCTGTGAGCGACCCGCCACCGCCGCCATACCGCCGCACCACCGCCGCACCACCGCCGCCGCGACCCTACATCGCCCCCCCCCCGCCCCGTCCGCTCAGGCCACTTCGCCAAGGAGGAGATCGCCGGAAAACTTGAGCAGCTTGGCGAGCGTTGGGACGGGCTCAAGGCCAAGGCTGCCCAGCGGCGCCAGGACCTCGAGGACTCGCTGCAGGCCCAGCAGTACTTCGCCGACGCCAACGCGGCCGAGAGCTGGATGCGCGAGAAGGAGCCCATCGTGGGCAGCGCCGACTACGGCAAGGACGAGGACTCCGCCGAGGTGGGGGCCACGTGCTGCCGTCGCCACGCTCGCTCGCCACGCTCGCTCGCCACGCTCGCTCGCTCACCTCGCTCGCTCACCACCTCGCTCGCTCGCTCACCACCTCGTTCGTTTCGCTCGCTCGCCACGCTCGCTCGCTCACCACCTCGCTCGCTCACCTCGCTCGCTCACCACCTCACTCGCCACGCTCGCTCGCTCACCACCTCGCTCACCTTGCTCACTCGCTCACTACCACACTCGCTCGCTCACCACCTCACTCGCCACGCTCACCTCGCTCACCTCGCTCGCTCACCACCTCGCTCACCTCGCTCGTTCGCTCACCGCCTCGCTCGCTCGCCACCTCGCTCACCTCGCTCGCCACGTCACCCGCCTCGCTCGCTCGCTCACCACCTCGTTCACCTTGCTCACTCGCCACCTCGCTCACCAACTCGCTCACCACGCTCACTCACTGTATGATGAGGCAATGGGTGTCTGTGTGATGAGTCTGGGTTTCTGTGCGAGTCTATGGGCCTATGTGGTGAGTCTATGGCTCTCTGTGTGGTGAGTCTATGGCTCTCTGTGCGAGTCTATGGGTCTCTGTGTGGTGAGTCTATGGCTCTCTGTGTGGTGAGTCTATGGCTCTCTGTGTGGTGAGTCTATGGGTCTCTGTGTGGTGAGTCTATGGCACTCTGTGTGGTGAGTCTATGGGTCTCTCTGTGGTGAGTCTGTGGGTCTGTGTGTGGTGAGTCTATGGGTCTCCGTGTGAGGCTGTAGTCCACAGACCCACACAGTGAGCCACACAGCCGAGTGGACCAATCGCGCGACCCGCCCCACTCAGGCTCCGAGAGTGGCCGCGTGAAGCCCACAGAACTGAGGCTGCGACCTCAACTCCACGCGGGTGGCATCGCGTGTGACCCCTGCCCACCCCTCCCCCCCCCGTCTCTCTCGTGACCCCTCCGGTGACCCCCCCCTCCCCTTCGCGTGACCCCAGGCCCTGCTGAAGAAGCACGAGGCGCTGATGTCGGACTTGGTGGCGTACGGCAGCACCATCCAGGCGCTGCGCGAGCAGGCACAGGCGTGCCGCGTAAGCACCGCACTCGCCACGCACCGCACTCGCCACGCACCGCACAACCTCGCACGGCACTCGCCGCGCGCCGAGACACGGCACGTACACACGCCGCACTTGCCCTCGCGGCCGGTTGCAGGCTACGTAGTCGCGGGGGGGGGGGGGTCCCTTTGTCTCTGCCTGTGTGCGTGCACAGCGGTTAGCGCCACACCGCGCTACGAACCCGGCGACCCGAGTTCAATTCCCGCTCACGGCGACGATTATCTCAACCGGGCCTGGGCCTTCTCCCCTAGGTCGACTCAAACGGGTTACCCGGTGCGGTGCGCAGTAAACACCGCCACTGGGGAGAGACAAAGGCGGCCGGGCGCGGCGCCGGCCACCCACCCCCCCCGCCCCCCTCGTGCGCCTTGCCGGCGTTCGTAGGCGCTGCTCGCTAACAGCGCTTGCCCCGAAAGTTTGTCAAGGCTGTGTGTGTCGGGGGGGGACCTTTGTCTTGTGCGGGGAGTGAACACCGCCACTGGGGAGACAAAGGCGGCCGTCAGCGCTTGCCCCGGCGGTCTGTCGGGGCCACGCGGCGGGGTCGGGTTTGGGGGAGGGGGGTGGAGGAGGTTTTTTTCCGTTGCCTTCGTCTTGGGGACGCAGCAACAAGTGGCACCGCTGGACGACGGCACGGGCAAGGAGCTGGTGCTGGTGCTGTACGACTACCAGGAGAAGAGCCCGCGCGAGGTCACCATGAAGAAGGGCGACGTCCTCACCCTGCTCAACAGCACCAACAAGGCACGGCGCACCGCACCGAACCGCACCGCGCACCGCGTCGGGGCCACCGCGCACGGCACCGCACCGCGTCTGGGCACCGCGCCGCCAATAACGCCGTCCCCCGTGCGGTGCGGCAGGGCCGGTGGAAGGTGGAGCAGCGTGTGTGGTGCTGGTAGGGTGAACGTGTGCGGTGCGGCACGACCGGTGGAAGGTGGTGGAGGTGTGCGTGGTGGTGGTAACGTTGTGGCGGCGACGCTGTGGTAGTGTAACGTGTGCGTTGTGGCAGGACTGGTGGAAGGTGGAGGTGTGTGTGCGTGTGTGTGTGCGTGCGGTGGTGGCGACGTTGAGTGTGGCACGGCAAGACTGGTGGAAGGTGGAGGTGTGTGTGTGTGTGGTGGTGGTAACGTGGTGGCGACGTTGTGGCACGGCAGGACTGGTGGAAGGTGTAGGTGTGTGTGTGTGTGGCGGTGGTAACGTTGTGGCGACGTTGTGGCACGGCAGGACTGGTGGAAGGTGGAGCTGTGTGTGTGTGGTGGTGGTAACGTTGTGGCGACGTTGTGGTAACGTTGTGGCGACGTTGTGGCACGGCAGGACTGGTGGAAGGTGGAGGTGTGTGGTGGTGGTGGTAACGTGGTGGCGACGTTGTGGTAACGTTGTGGCGACGTTGTGGCACGGCAGGACTGGTGGAAGGTGGAGGTGTGTGGTGGTGGTGGTAACGTGGTGGCGACGTTGTGGTAACGTTGCGGCGACGTTGTGGCACGGCAGGACTGGTGGAAGGTGGAGGTGTGTGGTGGTGGTGGTAACGTGGTGGCGACGTTGTGGTAACGTTGTGGCGACGTTGTGGCACGGCAGGACTGGTGGAAGGTGGAGGTGAACGACCGCCAGGGCTTCGTGCCGGCCGCCTACGTCAAGAAGCTGGACGCTTCGCAGTCGGCGTCCCGCGAGAACCTCCTGGACGAGTCGGGCAGCATCCCCGCCCGGCAGGAGCAGATCGACACCCAGTGAGTGGGGGGGGGCAGCGGGGGAGGCGGAGGGGGGACACGTGCGGGTGGTGTAGCGGTGTGTAAGGTGTGGTGGGTACGTGTGTGTGTGCGCGCGCGCGTGGATTTTTACGTAAGCTTAAGGAGTGTGTGCGAGTGTGGTGCTGGCCACCCCAGCTCCCCCTCGTGTGCGGCGGTGACGGCCTTCGACACTTCACGTGCACCCGGCCTGGCGCGGCGCCTTGGTGACGTCACCGCCGCCTGGTGGCGAATGGCGGCTGCTGGGTGTGTGGCGGCAGGGAGAGCCGAGTTCGATTCCCCGCTCGCGACCCATAGTCGGTGGCCTCCCCCAAGGTCAACTTGGCCTGACATTGTGGGCCTGGTGCGACGTGTAAAACATCGCCACCGGGGAGACAAAGGCGGCCGGGCGGGGTGGCGGTGCCCGCCAGCGGCGCTCGTCTCTGTGGGTGGTCGTGCCGAGTGCTGCGGTGACAGTCTGGGAGCGTGAAGGGTCCACGGCAACAACAGCGCGGCCTCCCCGCGGCCCAGCCCTGACACTGTCTCCCACCGCCCGGCCCATCCCGCCCTCGCCCCATACCCCACACCGGTGTGCTCCACATCCTCCTCCTCCTCCTCACCTCCTCGTCCTCACCTCTTCCGTGTGTCCGCATCATCCTACTCCTCCTCCTGTGCTCTGTGTGCAATAATCCACCCACCCACCTCCTCGCCCGCCCGCCCGTCGTGTCGGCCTCCCCGCTGCCCCCCCCCCCCCCGCCCCCCCCCCCCAAGTGAGTCGTTCACGGCGTACTACAGCCTGGCCGTGGACGTGGGCCCCGACGCGCCAGCCCCGCTGCTCTCGGCCTCCCTGAAGTAGGAGCTGGGCCCTCGCGCAGCCAATACCCACACCCCCCCACCTCCCCACCCCACCTTGGTGCAGTGTGGGTCTCTAGTGCAGTGTGGGATAGACCTCGGTGCAGTGTGGGTCTCTCGTGCAGTGTGGGTCACTGGTGCAGTGTGGGTCTCTAGTGCAGTGTGGGTCACTGGTGCATTGTGGGTCACTGGTGCAGTGTGGGTCTCTCGTGCAGTGTGGGTCACTGGTGCAGTGTGGGTCACTGGTGCAGTGTGGGTCTCTCGTGCAGTGTGGGTCACTGGTGCATTGTGGGTCACTGGTGCAGTGTGGGTCTCTCGTGCAGTGTGGGTCACTGGTGCAGTGTGGGTCACTGGTGCAGTGTGGGTCTCGTGCAGTGTGGGTCTCTCGTGCAGTGTGGGTCACTGGTGCAGTGTGGGTCTCTGGTGCAGTGTGGGTCACTGGTGCAGTGTGGGTCACTGGTGCAGTGTGGGTCACTGGTGCAGTGTGGGTCGCTAGTGCAGTGTGGGTCACTGGTGCATTGTGGGTCACTAGTGCTTTGTGGGATAGACCCCGGTGCAGTGTGGGTCACTAGTGCAGTGTGGGTCACTGGTGCAGTGTGGGTCACTAGTCACTAGTGCAGTGTGGGTCACTAGTGCAGTGTGGGTCACTGGTGCAGTGTGGGTCTCTAGTGCATTGTGGGTCACTAGTGCAGTGTGGGTCACTGGTGCAGTGTGGGTCACTGGTGCAGTGTGGGTCACTAGTGCATTGTGGGTCTCTAGTGCAGTGTGGGTCTCTGGTGCAGTGTGGGTCACTGCTGCAGTGTGGGTCACTAGTGCATTGTGGGTCTCTAGTGCAGTGTGGGTCACTAGTGCAGTGTGGGTCACTGGTGCAGTGTGGGTCACTGCTGCAGTTTGGGTCTCTAGTGCAGTGTGGGTCACTGCTGCAGTTTGGGTCTCTAGTGCAGTGTGGGTCACTGGTGCAGTGTGGGTCACTGGTGCAGTGTGGGTCACTAGTGCAGTGTGGGTCTCTGGTGCAGTGTGGGTCTCTGGTGCAGTGTGGGTCACTAGTGCAGTGTGGGTCACTAGTGCATTGTGGGTCTCTAGTGCAGTGTGGGTCACTAGTGCAGTGTGGGTCACTGGTGCAGTGTGGGTCACTGGTGCAGTGTGGGTCACTAGTGCATTGTGGGTCTCTAGTGCAGTGTGGGTCTCTGGTGCAGTGTGGGTCTCTGGTGCAGTGTGGGTCACTAGTGCAGTGTGGGTCACTAGTGCAGTGTGGGTCACTCGTGCATTGTGGGTCACTGGTGCAGTGTGGGTCTCTAGTGCAGTGTAGGTCACTGGTGCATTGTGGGTCACTGGTGCATTGTGGGTCACTAGTGCAGTGTGGGTCACTAGTGCAGTGTGGGTCACTAGTGCAGTGTGGGTCACTGGTGCAGTGTGGGTCACTAGTGCAGTGTGGGTCACTAGTGCAGTGTGGGTCACTGGTGCAGTGTGGGTCACTGGTACAGTGTGGGTCACTAGTGCAGTGTGGGTCACTGGTGCAGTGTGGGTCTCTGGTGCAGTGTGGGTCACTAGTGCAGTGTGGGTCACTGGTGCAGTGTGGGTCACTGGTACAGTGTGGGTCACTAGTGCAGTGTGGGTCACTGGTGCAGTGTGGGTCACTGGTACAGTGTGGGTCACTAGTGCAGTGTGGGTCACTAGTGCAGTGTGGGTCACTGGTGCAGTGTGGGTCACTAGTGCATTGTGGGTCACTGGTACAGTGTGGGTCACTAGTGCAGTGTGGGTCACTAGTGCAGTGTGGGTCTCTGGTGCAGTGTGGGTCACTAGTGCAGTGTGGGTCTCTGGTGTAGTGTGGGTCTCTAGTGCAGTGTGGATCACTGGTGCAGTGTGGGTCACTGGTGCAGTGTGGGTCACTGGTGCAGTGTGGATCACTAGTGCAGTGTGGGTCTCTGGTGCAGTGTGGGTCACTGGTGCAGTGTGGGTCTCTAGTGCAGTGTGGGTCTCTGGTGCAGTGTGGGTCACTGGTGCAGTGTGGGTCACTGGTACAGTGTGGGTCACTGGTGCAGTGTGGGTCACTGGTGCAGTGTGGGTCTCTGGTGCAGTGTGGGTCTCTGGTGCAGTGTGGGTCACTGGTGCAGTGTGGGTCACTGGTGCAGTGTGGGTCACTGGTGCAGTGTGGGTCTCTGGTGCAGTGTGGGTCACTTGTGCAGTGTGGGTCACTGGTGCAGTGTGGGTCACTGGTGCAGTGTGGGTCACTGGTGCAGTGTGGGTCACTAGTGCAGTGTGGGTCACTAGTGCAGTGTGGGTCACTAGTGCAGTGTGGGTCTCTGGTGCAGTGTGGGTCTCTAGTGCAGTGTGGATCACTGGTGCAGTGTGGGTCACTGGTTCAGTGTGGGTCACTGGTGCAGTGTGGGTCACTGGTGCAGTGTGGGTCACTGGTGCAGTGTGGGTCACTAGTGCATTGTGGGTCTCTGGTGCAGTGTGGGTCTCTGGTGCAGTGTGGGTCACTAGTGCAGTGTGGGTCACTAGTGCAGTGTGGGTCACTCGTGCATTGTGGGTCACTGGTGCAGTGTGGGTCTCTAGTGCAGTGTGGGTCACTGGTGCATTGTGGGTCACTAGTGCAGTGTGGGTCACTAGTGCAGTGTGGGTCACTAGTGCAGTGTGGGTCTCTGGTGCAGTGTGGGTCACTGGTGCAGTGTGGGTCACTGGTGCAGTGTGGGTCACTGGTGCAGTGTGGGTCACTGGTACAGTGTGGGTCTCTGGTGCAGTGTGGGTCACTGGTGCAGTGTGGGTCTCTAGTGCAGTGTGTTTGTCTCTAGTGCAGTGTGGGTCTCTAGTGCAGTGTGGGTCACTGGTGCAGTGTGGGTCACTGGTGCAGTGTGGGTCACTAGTGCAGTGTGGGTCACTGGTGCAATGTGGGTCACTGGTACAGTGTGGGTCACTAGTGCAGTGTGGGTCACTAGTGCAGTGTGGGTCTCTGGTGCAGTGTGGGTCACTAGTGCAGTGTGGGTCACTGGTGCAGTGTGGGTCACTGGTACAGTCTGGGTCACTAGTGCAGTGTGGGTCACTGGTGCAGTGTGGGTCACTGGTACAGTGTGGGTCACTAGTGCAGTGTGGGTCACTAGTGCAGTGTGGGTCACTGGTGCAGTGTGGGTCACTAGTGCATTGTGGGTCACTGGTACAGTGTGGGTCACTAGTGCAGTGTGGGTCACTAATGCAGTGTGGGTCTCTGGTGCAGTGTGGGTCACTAGTGCAGTGTGGGTCTCTGGTGTAGTGTGGGTCTCTAGTGCAGTGTGGATCACTGGTGCAGTGTGGGTCACTGGTGCAGTGTGGGTCACTGGTGCAGTGTGGGTCACTGGTGCAGTGTGGATCACTAGTGCAGTGTGGGTCTCTGGTGCAGTGTGGGTCACTGGTGCAGTGTGGGTCTCTAGTGCAGTGTGGGTCTCTGGTGCAGTGTGGGTCACTGGTGCAGTGTGGGTCACTGGTGCAGTGTGGGTCTCTGGTGCAGTGTGGGTCACTGGTGCAGTGTGGGTCACTGGTGCAGTGTGGGTCTCTGGTGCAGTGTGGGTCTCTGGTGCAGTGTGGGTCACTGGTGCAGTGTGGGTCACTTGTGCAGTGTGGGTCACTGGTGCAGTGTGGGTCACTGGTGCAGTGTGGGTCACTAGTGCAGTGTGGGTCACTAGTGCAGTGTGGGTCTCTGGTGCAGTGTGGGTCTCTAGTGCAGTGTGGATCACTAGTGCAGTGTGGGTCACTGGTGCAGTGTGGGTCACTGGTGCAGTGTGGGTCACTGGTGCAGTGTGGATCACTAGTGCAGTGTGGGTCACTGGTGCAGTGTGGGTCTCTAGTGCAGTGTGGGTCTCTGGTGCATTGTGGGTCACTGGTGCAGTGTGGGTCACTGGTGCAGTGTGGGTCACTGGTGCAGTGTGGGTCTCTGGTGCAGTGTGGGTCACTAGTGCAGTGTGGGTTTCTAGTGCAGTGTGGGTCACTGGTGCATTGTGGGTCACTAGTGCAGTGTGGGTCACTAGTGCAGTGTGGGTCTCTGGTGCAGTGTGGGTCTCTGGTGCAGTGCTGGTCACTGGTGCAGTGTGGGTCTCTGGTGCAGTGTGGGTCTCTGGTGCAGTTTGGGTCACTAGTGCAGTGTGGGTCACTAGTGCAGTGTGGGTCACTGGTGCAGTGTGGGTCTCTGGTGCAGTCTATGGGCGTCATCCCTTAGCGGGACCCCTGGGAGCCCCCACCGCTTCCATTGCATCACTCTCGACCACCCCCCCCCCCCCTCCGCATTGTCGACCGCCTCCATGTCATCGCTCGTCCGTCCATCATCCCACACTCGCCGTGTTGTCAACGGCCTGCTGCTGCTACTGCCGCCACCACGGCCTCTGTCCGTCTGTGCCTCGCTCTGTCTCTGTCTCTCTGTCTCTCTGCGAGCACTGTTGTCTCACCCCGCGGGTACGGCTGTGCTGCCGTGCCCCCCACACTACCAACACTACCCTCCCCCCCCCCACTGTGTGCTCTCTAACGCTGCCCCCCCCCCCCACCGCACCCCCCTCGCCCGCTCTCACGCTGGACGCCTGCATCAGGAGCGTTGCGAAGGAGACGGGCAGTGTCTCCCAGCGCATGCAGCAGATTCAGGACCTGTGAGTAGGAGCTGTCGCCCTCCCACTGCTGCCCCCTACTGCTGCCCCCCACTGCTGCCCCCCTCGCCCACCTCCTCCCCCCCCCCCCCACCACCACCGGGCTGCCCTCCCCTTCGTCGTCCTGCACGCACGTTGGACGTAGGGGGGACGCATGCGTATCGGGCACGTGACGGTGATGATGATGTTGGTGGCGATGGTGGCGATGGTGGCGATGGTGGTGACGGTAACGGTGGCGGCCATGGCGATGCAGCGGCTCGCGACGCACGCGTCGGTCGGTTTCCTACGCACGCGGACGACCATTGACGACGACACGGCGCCCGAGCGCGACGGGGGGGGACGACTCCTGTGGCGGGAGCCGTGAGTTTCCAATTCAGTATCGTGGTGTGTAGAGTGTTTAGGAGTGCGGTGTATAGTGCAGCGTTCGTATGTTGAACTTCTCTCGCACCACCGCGCGTAACCAACCGTGCCAACAATTGTCGGAGGTGCGGGGCAGAAGGACAACAAACCAAAACACAACAACAATCAGCTGTAAAGAAACGAGTTTGGCAGTCTTAGGCGATGATTTAAAAGTGCCCACAGTGCCAGCAGTGGCTTCCTAATATCGGAAGGGGAAGAGCGTTCCAGACGGCCGCGGTTCCTCCTTCGCATCGGGACGCCCCCCCCACCGCCCCACCTCTCCCACTGCCCACATCGCTGTTTGGTTGGAAGCGTGGCCCTCCCACGCGCTGGTTAGCGCCGCCTGCAACGCCACCGGTTTCACCGCCCGCATGCCCGGCTATTCTCCCCGGTGCCGTGCCGCACCCCCCCCCCCCCCCCGCCCTGGGATGATGTGCGATGCATCTCGGGAGGATCAATTTAATCCTGGCTGCAATGCATCTTTGGGAGGAATACATGAATGTGTGTTGAAATGCATTGTGGGAGGATTAAATGCATCCTGGGTGCAATGCATCATGGGAGGATTAAGCTCACTGTGGAAGGTGAAATGCATCATGGGGGGTTTAAGATCATCATCCTCGGTGAAATGCGTTGTGGGAGGAGAAGCTTGCATTTCGCTCCTGGGTTCAAAGCTTCGAGTTTTTAAATCTCGTGGGCGTCGTTTGACTGTGCGGTTCTGTCCCTGCATGTACGCCGCTCCCCCCACCGCCCCCCCCCACAATGCCCCAATCCCCCCCACCGCCCCTCACCACCTCCATCGGTCCCCCCACCACCACCTCCATTGGCCCCATGGCCCCCACCACCTCCACCACCTCCATCGGCCCACCCACTCCCACCACTCTGACCACCTCCACCACCCCCACCACCTCCATCGGCCCCCACCACTCCCACTGCCCCACCACCTCCATCGGCCCACCCACCTCCACCACCTCCATCGGCCCACCCACCCCCACCACCACCACCTCGATCGCCCCCCCCCCCCCCACCACCTCCACCACTCCCACCACCCCCACCACTCCCATTGCCCCCCCCCCCCCACTGCCCCCCACGCCGCCCACCCCCCTCCCCCCCCCCCACCGTTCAACATCACCCCCACCAACACCTCCCCACTCCCCGCCCTGCCGCCGGCGCTCTCTCCCAGGTACAAGTCGCTGCAGGAGCTGGGCGACAAGCGCAAGGACATGCTGGAGAAGTGCTGCCGGCGCTTCCTGCTGTCGCGAGAGGCCAAGGAGCTGGAGGCGTGGATCAGCGAGAAGGAGGGGGCCCTCGCGGCGCACGAGACTGCCGCGGACCTCGAGCAGGTCGAGGTGCTGCAGAAGAAGTTCGACGACTTCCAGAAGGTGCGCCGGGGGCCCCTCGGGAACCCCCCTCATCGCCCTCCACCCTCCTCGTCGCCCTCCACCCTCCTCGTCGCCCTCCACCCTCGTCGCCCTTCACCCTCCTCATCGCCCTCCACCCTCCTCGTCGCCCTCCCTCCTCGTCGCCTGCCCTCCTCGTCGCCCTCCACCCTCCCTCGTCGCCCTCCACCCTCCTCGTCGCCTGCCCTCCTCGTCGCCCTCCACCCTCCCTCGTCGCCCTCCACCCTCCCTCGTTGCCCTCCACCCTCCTCGTCGCCCTCCACCCTCCTCGTCGCCCTCCACCCTCCCTCGTCGCCCTCCACCCTCCTCGTCGCCCTCCCTCCTCGTCGCCCGCCCTCCTCGTCGCCCTCCACCCTCCTCGTCGCCCTCCACCCTCCCTCGTTGCCCTCCACCCTCCTCGTCGCCCTCCACCCTCCTCGTCGCCCTCCACCCTCCTCGTCGCCCTCCACCCTCCTCGTCGCCCGCCCTCCTCGCCCACCCTACTTCGCCCCCTTGGCTGTGTGCAGGTGTGCTGTGTGCGGGTGTGCTGTGTGCGGGTGTGCTGTGTGCGGGTGTGCTGTGTGCAACGTATGTATGTTGACCTTCTTTCACGCCGTACGTTGCCAACGGCTCTAATTGGAGTTCGCATGCGGTGCGCGTGCCTGTGTCTGCCGTGCGTGTCTGCTGTGTGTCTGCCGTGCGTGTCTGCCGTGCGTGTGCTGTGTGCCTGCCGTGCATGCGCGTGCGCTGTGCGTGTCTGCCGTGCGTGTCTGCCGTGCGTGTGCTGCGTGTCTGCCGTGCATGTCTGCCGTGCGTGTGCTGTGTGTCTGCCGTGCGTGTCTGCCGTGCGTGTGCTGTGTGTCTGCCGTGCGTGTGCTGTGTGTCTGCCGTGCGTGTCTGCCGTGCGTGTGCTGTGTGTCTGCCGTGCGTGTCTGCCGTGCGTGTGCTGTGTGTCTGCCGTGCGTGTGCTGTGTGTCTGCCGTGCGTGTCTGCCGTGCGTGTGCTGTGTGTCTGCCGTGCGTGTCTGCCGTGCCTGTGCTGTGTGTCTGCCGTGCGTGTGCTGTGTGTCTGCCGTACGTGTCTGCCGTGCGTGTGCTGTGTGTCTGCCGTGCGTGCGCGTGCTGCTTGCGCGTGTGCCGTGCGTGTGCGGGCGAGCAGGACCTGAAAGCGAACGAGTCGCGTCTGCGTGAGATCAACCGCGTGTCCGACGAGCTGGAGGCCGACGGGCTCATGTCCGACGAGGCGCCGCTTGTCCAGGCGCAGGTGCAGGTAAGGGCAGCCGAACGGGCTTCCTCCTTCTCCTCCTACTCCTACTACTCCTACTTCTCCTCCTCCTACTCCTCCTAATCCTACTACTCCTACTTCTACTCCTACTCCTCCATCTCCTCCTACTCCTCCTCCTAATCCTACTCCTCCTACTCCTAATCCTACTCCTAATCCTACTCCTACCCCTAATCCTACTCCTCCTCTTACTCCTAATCCTACTCCTCCTACTTCTACTCCTACTTCTACTCCTACTTCTACTCCTCCTTCTCCTCCTACTCCTCCTACTCCTCCTTCTACTCCTCCTCCTACTCCGCACAATGCCGCTGCTACTGCATGCTCCCGGGCCCGTGCGGTGTGGTGGTAATGATCTGGTGTGGCCCGCTCGTATACACTCACTCACCTCACCCACTCACTCGCTCACTCTGACCCGCTCACTCATCTCTTGAGCCAACCGGTCACTCAACCAGTCACTCACGCACGCACTCAACCATTCTCACACCCACCCACTCACTCACGCACCAACTCACCCAACTGCTCACTCACCCGCTCACTCAACCAGTCACTCACCCAGTCACTCACCCACCGCCTTCAAATGCATGTTTTGGGCAGTGTGGTGAGTGTGAGTTGCGCCACGGTGGCTAGGAGATGTTAACTACCTCGCCTGGCCTACAGGAGATTGTGGGTTCGATCCCGACCCTGACAACGCCTGCTGCTGTATATTTGGAGTCTGCGTCTCTCTCTCTCATCATCATCACGGTGGCTAGGAGATGTTAACTACCTCGCCTGGTCTACAGGAGGTCGTGGGTTCGACCCCGACCCTGACGATGCCTGCTGCTGCTGTATATTTGGAGTTTGCGTGACTCTTTCTCTCTCTCATCATCACCGTGGCTAGGAGATGTTAACTACCTCGCCTGGTATACAGGAGGTCGTGGGTTCGATCCCGACCCTGACGATGGCTGCTGTTTATATTTGGAGTTTGCGTGTCTCTCTCTCTTCCCGTAGTCGTGTGGATTTTTCCACGGTTCCTTCCGGTTTTCCCCTCCATATTTACAAGCAACACGCATTGGTTGCTGTTTGAAATGTCCACACGGTGCTGCTACTGCTGATGATGAAACGCCACTCTGTCGAGCTGCTAGCATTCGCGATGACCACGGTCGCTTCTAGAAATATCGAGCTTACTCGGCAGCTCGCTGGTAAAAACAACAAAAATGTAGTTCTCGTTTAGAGCGTGATGACGAAGTTGTGAGTCTGAGCTGTGTGTGCTGTCATTTGTGCCCCCCTCCCCTGTCCTGATCCCCCCCTCCCCTCCCCCTCCCCCCCCCACTGCCCTGACCCCCCCCTCCCCTGTCCTGACCCCCCCCACTGCCCTGACCCCCCCCCCTCCCCTGTCCTGACCCCTCCACTGCCCTGACCCCCAACCCCCCCCCCCCCCCCCCCCCCCCCCGGCCTCTGGGTGTGGGAACTCGCACAGCTGCAGGTGAGATGCCTCGCAGACCTCCCCTGCACGCACATATCGCACGCACATACCACACGCACATACCACACGCACATACCACACGCACATACCACACGCACATACCACGCGCACATACCACGCGCACATACCACACGCACATACCACACGCACATACACCACGCATATACCACGCACATACCACACGCACATACACCACGCACATACCACACGCACATACACCACGCACATACCGCACGCACATACCGCACGCATATACGCACGCAAATACCGCACGCAAATACCGCACGCGCATAGCACATGCGCATACCACGCAGATATCACACGCAGATACCACATGCAGATACCACACGCAGATACACCACGAATATACCGCACGCAAATACCGCACGCACATAGCACACTCACATACCACACACAGATACACCACGCACATTCCACACGCACACACCACACGCCACACACACATGCCAAACGCATATACCACACCCATATACCGTCTAGATACCACGCATATTCCTGTCTCGTTGTGTCGTCGTGTCTTTGCGTCGTGTCGTGTGTCTGCGTGGTGTGTCTGCGTGGTGTGTCTGCGTGGTGTGTCTGCGTGGTGTGTCTGCGTGGTGTGTCTGCGTGGTGTGTCTGCGTGGTGTCTCTGCGTGGTGTGTCTGCGTGGTGTGTCTGCGTGGTGTGTCTGCGTGGTGTGTCTGCGTGGTGTGTCTGCTTGGTGTCTCTGCGTGGTGTGTCTGCGTGGTGTGTCTGCGTGGTGTGTCTGCGTGGTGTGTCTGCGTGGTGTGTCTGCGTGGTGTGTCTGCGTGGTGTGTCTGCGTGGTGTGTCTGCGTGGTGTCTCTGCGTGGTGTCTCTGCGTGGTGTGTCTGCGTGGTGTGTCTGCGTGGTGTGTCTGCGTGGTGTGTCTGCGTGGTGTGTCTGCGTGGTGTGTCTGCGTGGTGTGTCTGCGTGGTGTGTCTGCGTGGTGTGTCTGCGTGGTGTGTCTGCGTGGTGTGTCTGCGTGGTGTCTCTGCGTGGTGTCTCTGCGTGGTGTGTCTGCGTGGTGTGTCTGCGTGGTGTGTCTGCGTGGTGTGTCTGCGTGGTGTGTCTGCGTGGTGTGTCTGCGTGGTGTGTCTGCGTGGTGTGTCTGCGTAGTGTGTCTGCGTGGTGTGTCTGCGTGGTGTGTCTGCGTGGTGTGTCTGCGTGGTGTGTCTGCGTGGTGTGTCTGCGTGGTGTGTCTGCGTCATGTCTGTCTCATGCCGTGTCTCATTTCTGCTGCACAGGAGGGGGCATCTCCAGGCTCTGTGAAGGTAACGGACGTCTCCACCCCCCCCCCCACAGTGCCCCTCCCCCTGTCTCCACCCCCCCCCCACAGTGCCCCTCCCCCTGTCTCCACCCCCCCCCACAGTGCCCCTCCCCCTGTCTCCACCCCCCCCACAGTGCTCCTCCCCCTGTCTCCACCCCCCCCCCCCCACAGTGCCCCTCCCCCTGTCTCCACCCCCCCCCCACAGTGCCCCTCCCCCTGTCTCCACCCCCCCCCACAGTGCCCCTCCCCCTGTCTCCACCCCCCCCCCACAGTGCTCCTCCCCCTGTCTCCACCCCCCCCCCACAGTGCCCCTCCCCCTGTCTCCACCCCCCCCCACAGTGCCCCTCCCCCTGTCTCCACCCCCCCCCCACAGTGCTCCTCCCCCTGTCTCCACCCCCCCCCCACAGTGCTCCTCCCCCTGTCTCCACCCCCCCCACAGTGCCCCTCCCCCTGTCTCCACCCCCCCCCACAGTGCCCCTCCCCCTGTCTCCACCCCCCCCCACAGTGCCCCTCCCCCAGTCACTCCACGGCTACCCCCGCCTGTTCCTCTTGTCACACCATGGCTGTCGCCCCCCGACCCCCCCACGTCACGTGTGTCATGTCTCGTTTGGTGGGGTTGTTGGGGGGTCACGTGATTCTTGGCGCCCCCGGGCCGTGAGAGTGTCGCCGTGGTGACGCCCGACCCCCCCCCCCCCTCCGCTTGTCGTTTCAGGACGAGACCGACACCAAGATGTCTCCGTGGAAGGTAAGGCGGGGCGGGGGGGGGCGCGGGGGGGTCGGGGGGAGGAGGTGTCGGGGTTAGGTTTGGCTGCTGTTAACGTCCACAGGATGACGATGACGACCACTTCACACGGTGACGACCACTTCACACGGTGACGACCACTTCACACGATGACGTTGACGACCACTTCACACGGTGACGACCACTTCACACGGTGACGACCACTTCACACGATGACGTTGACGACCACTTCACACGGTGACGACCACTTCACACGGTGACGACCACTTCACACGGTGACGACCACTTCACACGGTGACGATGACTTCACACGGTGACGACCACTTCACACGGTGACGACCACTTCACACGGTGACGACCACTTCACACGGTGACGACCACTTCACACGGTGACGACAACTTCACACGGTGACGATGACGACCACTTCACACGGTGACGACCACTTCACACGGTGACGACCACTTCACACAATGACGACCACTTCACACGGTGACGACCACTTCACACGGTGACGACCACTTCACACGGTGACGACCACTTCACACGGTGACGATGACGACCACTTCACACTGTGACGACCACTTCACACGGTGACGACCACTTCACACGGTGACAATGACTTCACACAGTGACGATGACTTCACACAGTGACGACCACTTCACACGGTGACGACCACTTCACACGGTGACGACCACTTCACACGGTGACGACCACTTCACACGGTGACGACCACTTCACACGGTGACGATGACTTCACACAGTGACGACCACTTCACACGGTGACGACCACTTCACACGGTGACGATGACGACCACTTCACACGGTGACGACCACTTCACACGGTGACGATGACTTCACACAGTGACGACCACTTCACACGGTGACGACCACTTCACACGGTGACGACCACTTCACACGGTGACGACCACTTCACACGGTGACGATGACGACCACTTCACACGGTGACGACCACTTCACACGATGACGACCACTTCACACGGTGACGACCACTTCACACGGTGACCATGACGACCACTTCACACGGTGACGACCACTTCACACGGTGACCATGACGACCACTTCACACGGTGACGATGACGATGACTTCACACGGTGACGACCACTTCACACGATGACGACCACTTCACACGGTGACGATGACGACCACTTCACACGGTGACGACCACTTCACACGGTGACGACCACTTCACACGGTGACGACCACTTCACACGGTGACGACCACTTCACACTGTGACGACCACTTCACACGGTGACGACCACTTCACACGGTGACGACCACTTCACACGGTGACGACCACTTCACACGGTGACGATGACTTCACACGGTGACGACCACTTCACACGGTGACGACCACTTCACACGGTGACGACCACTTCACACGATGACGACCACTTCACACGGTGACGACCACTTCACACGGTGACGACCACTTCACACGGTGACGACCACTTCACACGGTGACGATGACTTCACACGGTGACGGTGACGACCACTTCACACGGTGACGACCACTTCACACGGTGACGACCACTTCACACGGTGACGATGACGACCACTTCACACAGTGACGACCACTTCACACGGTGACGACCACTTCACAAGGTGACGACCACTTCACACGGTGACGACCACTTCACACGGTGACGATGACGACCACTTCACACGGTGACGACCACTTCACACGGTGACGACCACTTCACACGGTGACGACCACTTCACACGGTGACGACCACTTCACACGGTGACGATGACGACCACTTCACACGGTGACGACCACTTCACACGGTGACGATGACGACCACTTCACACGGTGACGACCACTTCACACGGTGACGATGACAACCACTTCACATGGTGACGGTGACGACCACTTCACACGATGACGACCACTTCACACGGTGACGACCACTTCACACGGTGACGATGACGACCACTTCACATGGTGACGATGACGACCACTTCACACGATGACGACCACTTCACACGATGACGACCACTTCACACAGTGACGACCACTTCACACGGTGACGACCACTTCACACGGTGACGATGACGACCACTTCACACGGTGACGACCACTTCACACAGTGACGACCACTTCACACGATGACGACCACTTCACACGGTGACGACCACTTCACACGGTGACGATGACGACCACTTCACACGGTGACGACCACTTCACACGATGACGATGACGACCACTTCACACGATGACGACCACTTCACACGGTGACGATGACTTCACACGGTGACGACCACTTCACACGGTGACGACCACTTCACACGGTGACGACCACTTCACACGGTGACGATGACTTCACACGGTGACGACCACTTCACACGGTGACGATGACGACCACTTCACACGGTGACGACCACTTCACACGGTGACGACCACTTCACACGGTGACGACCACTTCACACGGTGACGATGACGACCACTTCACACGGTGACGACCACTTCACACGGTGACGATGACGACCACTTCACACGGTGACGACCACTTCACACGGTGACGACCACTTCACACGATGACGACCACTTCACACGGTGACGATGACGACCACTTCACACGGTGACGACCACTTCACACGGTGACGACCACTTCACACGGTGACGATGACTTCACACGGTGACGATGACGACCACTTCACACGGTGACGATGACTTCACACGGTGACGACCACTTCACACGGTGACGAACCACTTCACACGGTGGACGATGACGACCACTTCACACGGTTGACGACCACTTCACACGGTGACGACCAATTCACACGGTGACGATGACGACCACTTCACACGGTGACGACCACTTCACACGATGACGATGACGACCACTTCACACGATGACGACCACTTCACACGGTGACGATGACTTCACACGGTGACGACCACTTCACACGGTGACGATGACTTCACACGGTGACGATGACGACCACTTCACACGGTGACGACCACTTCACACGGTGACGACCACTTCACACGGTGACGACCACTTCACACGATGACGATGACGACCACTTCACACGGTGACGACCACTTCACACGGTGACGACCACTTCACACGGTGACGACCACTTCACACGGTGACGACCACTTCACACGGTGACGATGACGACCACTTCACACGGTGACGACCACTTCACACGGTGACGACCACTTCACATGGTGACGACCACTTCACACGGTGACGATGACGACCACTTCACACGGTGACGATGACGACCACTTCACACCGTGACGACCACTTCACACGGTGACGACCACTTCACACGGTGACGACCACTTCACACGGTGACGATGACGACCACTTCACACGGTGACGACCACTTCACACGGTGACCATGACGACCACTTCACATGGTGACGATGACGACCACTTCACACGGTGACGACCACTTCACACGGTGACGATGACGACCACTTCACACTGTGACGACCACTTCACACGGTGACGATGACGACCACTTCACACGGTGACGACCACTTCACACGGTGACGATGACGACCACTTCACACTGTGACGACCACTTCACACGGTGACGATGACGACCACTTCACATGGTGACGACCACTTCACACGATGACGACCACTTCACATGGTGACGATGACGACCACTTCACACGGTGACGATGACGACCACTTCACACGGTGACGACCACTTCACAAGATGATGACCACTTCACGCGATGACGACGGGAGATCCTCTCCCTTGGCCCGGCACGCGGGCGGGTGGTTGGGTCGGCACGTGGATTGGGGTAACGCCAATTCCGGCCGCCGGTTGCTGACGACGATTTTTTCCGTGGCAGACGGTGAAGACGGCGGTGCAGTCCGTGGCCACCTTCAACAGCATCAAGGTGAGCGCGGTCGGTGGTGAGCGTGGTGAGAGTTATTGAGCGGTTGTTGAGGGCGGTGGCGAGTGTGCGTGGTGAGCGGGTTGGTTGTGAGGGTAGTGTGGGTGGTGAGGGTAGCGAGTGCGTGGTGAGCGGGTGGTTGGTGACGGCGGTAAGCGGGTGGGTGGTGAGCGTGGTGAGGGTTATTGAGCGGTTGGTGAGGGCGGTGGCGAGTGTGCGTGGTGAGCGGGTGGATGGTGAGGGCGGTGAGCGGGTGGGTGGTGAGCGTGGTGAGTGCGTGGTGAGAGGGGTGGGTAGTGCGAGTGGTGAGTGTGTGGTGAGCGGGGTGGGTGGTGATGCTGGTGAGTGCGTGGTGGTGAGCAGGAGCTGAACGACCGCTGGAAGGCGCTGCAAGACCTCGCTGAGGAACGGTCCCAGAGCCTGGGCAGCGCTCACGAAGTGCAGCGATTCCACCGGTACCCTCACCACACTCGCCCACTCGCTCGCTCGGACACCTACTCACCCACCCACCTAGTTACCCACCCACTTACTCACCTGCCCACCCACTCACTCACTCGCCCACTCATCCACCCACTCACCGACCCACTCACCTGCTCACCCACTCACTCACCTACCCACTCACTCACCCACCCACTGACACACCCACCCACTTATCCACTCACTCACTGACCCACTCACTCACTCACCCCACCCAACCACTGACTCACTCAATCACCCACTCACTCAACTGCCCCACCCACCTTACCCACCCGCTCACCCGCCCGCCCACTCACCCACTCACTCATCCACTTGCTGGCCCACTCACTCACCCGCCCACTCACCCACTGACCCACCCACCCACTCACTCACTCAGCCCCCCACTCACACACTGACCCACCCACCCAGTCACTCACTTACCCCCCCACTCACCCACTGACCCACCCACTAACTCACTCACTCACCCGCCCACTCACCCACTGACCCACCCACCCACTCACTCACTCACCCGCCCACTCACCCACTGACCCACCCACCCACTCACTCACTCACCCCCCCACTCACCCACTGACCCACCCACCCACCCACTCACTCACCCCCCCACTCACCCACCCACTAACTCGTCCGCCCGCCCGCCCAGGGATGCGGACGAGACGATGGAGTGGATCGAGGAGAAGAACCAGGCGCTCAACACGGACAACTTTGGGCACGACCTGGCGAGCGTGCAGGCGCTGCAGCGCAAGCACGAGGGCTTCGAGCGCGACCTCGCCGCCCTCGGCGACAAGGTCAGGGCCGGGCGCCAGCAGCCAGGGGTGTACCGTCCCGAGAGAGTGCGCGTGCGTGTGTGTGTGCGCGTGTGTGTGTGTGTGTGTGCGTGTGTGTGTGTGTGCGTGTGTGTGTGTGTGTGTGTGCGTGTGTGTGTGTGTGCGCGCGTGTGTGTGTGTGTGTGCGCGTGTGTGCGCGCGTGTGTGCGCGCGCGTGTGTGCGCGCGCGTGTGTGTGTGTGTGTGCGTGGGTGTGCGTGCGCGTGTGTGTGTGTGTGTGCGCGTGTGTGTGCGTGTGTGTGTGTGTGCGCGTGTGTGCGTGCGCGTGTGTGTGTGCGCGTGTGTAGTGGCTAGCGCTACGCTGCGCTAGGAACCCGGCGGCCCCAGTTCGATTCCCGCTCAGGGCCAACACCGGTGACGATTATCTCAACCGGTCCTGGGCCTCAACTCAGCCCCAAATGAGTATCTGGTGCGGTGTGTAGTGAACGTCGCCACTGGGGGAGACAAAGGCGGCCGGGCAGGGCGCTGGCCACCCACCCCCTCGTGTGCCACAGTGCCGGCCTTCCTAGGTGCTGCTGCTGCTCGCTAACGGCACTTGCCCCACCTGCCTGTTGAGGCTATCCGGGGTGGTGGGGGGGTGCGGGGCATCTTTGTATTTGTGCGCTCGTGCGAGCGTGACGCGTCAAAAAACGACACGCGGCCGCCATGACCTCGCGATGCGAATGACGGAGGTGTGACCCCCCCCCCTCGCCGTCGCCCACCCTCGCAGGTGAACTCCCTGGACGAGACGGCGGATCGGCTGACCCAGAGTCACCCCGAGTCGGCGGGCGACCTGCAGGAGAAGCGCACGGAGCTGAACCAGGCGTGGGGCGCGCTGGTGAAGCGTGCCGACCAGCGCAAGGGGCGACTCAACGACTCGCACGACCTGCAGCGCTTCCTCTCCGACTTCCGGTGCGCTGCCCTCCCTCGACTCCCCCCCGCCTCCCCCACCGTGTCTCCCCCCTCATGGCTTCCACGTGTGTCCCCCGTGTGTCCCCCTGTGTCTCCCCGGTGCCACCCGTGACCCCCGTGTCCTGGTGACCTCCGTGACTCTCATATCCCCTGTGACCTCCATGCCTCCCCCGTGACCCAGCGTCTCCACTCCCCCATGACCCCCCACGTCCTGGTGACCCTCATGACCCCCGTGTCTCCCCCATGACCCCCGTGTCTCCCCCGTGACCCCCGCGTGTCCCCGGTTGTCCGCTGTACTGCAGGGACCTCATGTCGTGGATGAACGGGATCCGGGGGCTCGTGTCGTCCGAGGAGCTCGCCAAGGACGTGACGGGGGCCGAGGCTCTGCTGGAGCGCCACCAGGTAGACACACGCAGACACACACACACGTGTATACACACACACACACACGTGTATACACACACACACGTGTACACACACACACGTGTATACACACACACACACGTGTACACACACACACACGTGTATACACACACACGCACACGTGTACACACACACACGTGTATACACACACACACACACACGTGTACACACACGTGTATACACACACACACACCACGTGTACACACGCACACACACGTGTACACATACACACGTGTACACACACGTGTATACACGCACACACAGCTGCATACACGCACACACACGTGTACACACACACACGTGTATACACGCACACACACACACACACGTGTACACACACACACGTGTATACACGCACACACACACACACGTGTACACACACGTGTATACACACACACACCACGTGTACACACACACACGTGTATACACGCACACACACACACACACACGTGTACACACACGTGTATACACGCATACACACACACGTGTACACACGCACACACACCACGTGTACACACGCACACACCACTTGTACACACATACACGTGTGTGCACACACCGCGTACACGCACCGCATGCACACTTACACCACGTGTACACACACCACGTGTACACACACACACACACCACGTGTACACACACACACACCGCACGCGCCCGAACCGGGCCCCCGATTATCTCGCTTCACCGTGACCCCGCGACCCCCCCCCCCCCACCTCCCCCACCCCTCCCCCGCGCAGGAGCACCGCACGGAGATGGACGCTCGCACCGGCACCTTCCAGGCGTTTGAGCAGTTTGGGCAGCAGCTGCTGGACCGCAACCACTACGCAAGCGCGGAGGTGCGGGACAAGCTGGCGGGCCTGGACCGCGAGCGCTCGGGCCTCGAGAAGGCCTGGGCCACGCGGCGCATGATGCTCGACCAGTGCCTGGAGCTGCAGGTAACCTTGCTCGCTCGCTCGCTCGCTCACCGCGCCGCTCGCCGCGGTCACCGCACAGCCGGCGCTCGCCACACTCTGCCGTCGGTCGGTCGGTCGGTCTGTGTGCTGCGTTGTCGGGTAGCGGTGCCATCGGCCAGTCATCTCAATCGGTCAACCCATGGCACCCTGCAGGGTCTGTCCCGTGACATCCTCCTGCACCTAGCCTGGTACAGTGGGGTGGCACAGGTGATGCATCTACCGGTCATCTCAGTCGGTCAACCCGTGGCACCTGCTGGGTCTGTCCCGTGACATCCTCCTGCACCTAGCCTGGTACAGTGGGGTGGCACAGGTGATGCATCTACCGGTCATCTCAGTCGGTCAACCCGTGGCACCTGCTGGGTCTGTCCCGTGACCTCCTGCACCTAGCCTGGCACAGTAGGGGCCACAGGTGGTGCATCGGCCAGTCATCTCAGTTGGTCAACTCACGGCGCCTGCAGGGTCTGTCCCGTGACCTGCCAGCGAGTGTTCGACAACTTCACGAGGCCTGGGCCCGGCACAGGCGCCGCGGCGACGTCACCGAATGGCGGCTGCCGCTGTTGTTGTTGTTGTCTGTGTTCGCTTAACAGCACTTGCCCCGACAGCCCGTTGAAGGCGATACGGGTGGGGACCTTTATCTTTGTGACCGTCCTGCTGCGTACTGACCCGCCTGTCCCCGTGCCACCCCCCCCCCTGCCACCCCCCCCCCCCCCCACAGCTGTTCAACCGAGACTGCGAGCAGGCCGAGGGCTGGATGGCGTCGCGCGAGGCCTTCCTGGCTGTGGACGACAAGGGCGACTCGCTGGACAGCGTCGAGGCGCTCATCAAGAAGCACGAGGACTTCGACAAGGCCATCAACGTGCAGGTGCCCACCCAAACCCCACGGGGCGTGCGTGCGCGTAGCCGTGTGGACGTGTGGCGGCGGTCGTGTTGGAGAGAGTGGAGTGGAGGGGCGCGGGTTGGTGGTGGTTCCCGTACGCGGTGCGGTGTTGTCTACGGCCTAGAGGCGGTGTCTTTTTAATCGGCTGCGCGGGTGCGTGTGGGCTCGCGTGCGGGGAGCGGTGGTGTAGGGGGGGTTAGCGCTACGCTGCGCTACGAACCTGGCGACCCGGGTTCGATTCCCGCTCACGGCCAACACCGGTGACGATTATCTGAACCGGTCCCGGGACTGCTTTAGGTCGACTCGGCCTCAAATGAGTACCTGGTGCGGTGTGTAGTAAACATCGTCGCTGGGGAGACAAAGGCGGCCGGGCGTGGTGTTGGCCACCCACCTCCTCGTGTGCCGTGCCGGCCTTCATAGGTGCTCGCTAACAGCACTTGCCCCAACAGTCTGTTAAGACTACACGGGGGATCTTTGTCTTTGTTCGTGTGTTCGTGTGTGTGTGTTCACGTGTGTTCGCGTGTGTGTGTTCGCGTTTGTGTGTTCACGTGTGTTCGTGTGTGTTCACCTGTGTTCGCGTGTGGGTGTTCGCGCGTGTTCGCGCGTGTTCGCGCGTGTTCGCGCGTGTTCGCGCGTGTTCGCGCGTGTTCGCGCGTGTTCGCGCGTGTTCGCGCGTGTTCGCGTGTGGGTGTTCACGTGTGCATTCACGTGTGCGTTCACGTGTGTGTCCGCGTGTGGGTGTTCACGTGTGTGTTCACGTGTGTTCGCGCGCGTCGATGCAGGAGGAGAAGATCGCCGCGCTGCAGTCGTTTGCCGATGAGCTGATCTCGTCGGATCACTACGCCAAGGGCGAGATCGGACACCGGCGTGACGAGGTGCTCGACCGGTGAGTTGGGGGGGGCGGCGGGGGCGTCTGCGTCCGCGCGTGTGCGTCAGCGCGCGTGTGCGTCGGTCATCCCGGTTGTACCCGATGGAACCTGGGTCCGTCCCGACACTTCCTGGCAGCGGCGAGGGGAACCCTTAACGACTTCACGTGGTCCCCCTCAACGTCCCCCTCAACGTCCACCGCAGTGACGCCGCCGCCATTCGGTGGCGAAAGACGTCCGTGGTTCTTGGCGTCCAAGCGCGCGTCCGTGTCCGTGCGTGCGTCCGTGCCCACATTTGGCCGTGCCCGCGCCCGCAGGTGGCGGCGGCTGAAGGCGCAGATGATCGACAAGCGCTCGAAGCTGGGCGAGTCGCAGAACCTGCAGCAGTTCAGCCGCGACGTGGACGAGATCGAGGCGTGGATCAGCGAGAAGCTGCAGACGGCCACCGACGAGTCCTACAAGGACCCCACCAACATCCAGGTGAGCGCCGAGGCCGCGGTCGTGGGCTGGAGTCACAGGCCGGGTCACGGGGTCGCGGACCTGGGTCATGGGTCGTGGACTGGAGTCACAGGCCGGGTCACGGGGTCGCGGACCTGGGTCATGGGTCGTGGACTGGAGTCACAGGCCGGGTAACGGGGTCGCGGGCTGGGGTCGCGGACCTGGGTCATGGGTCGTGGACTGGAGTCACAGGCCGGGTCACGGGGTCGCGGACCTGGGTCATGGGTCGTGGCCTGGAGTCACAGGCCGGGTCACGGGGTCGCGGACCTGGGTCATGGGACGTGGACTGGAGTCATAGGCTGGGTCACGGGGTCGTGGACCTGGGTCATGGGTCGTGGCCTGGAGTCACAGGCCGGGTCACGGGGTCGCGTGCTGGGGTTACGGGCCTGGGTCGTGGCCTGGAGTCACGGGGTCACGGGCCGGGGTCACTGGTCGGGGGTCGCCGCCCAGTGATGGCCGTCGGCTGCGTTTGTTGCGGGTGGGGGGGTGGGGGGGGGGGAGTTGATGGCGGCCGCTGATGAAGACTGCAGAATAAAAGCCGAGGAGTGCGCGCGGAGAAGCACGCACGGAGAGTTGCGCTCACGCCAATTGGAGTCGTGGCGCCGTGAGGAAGAGCGGCCGGGCGGGCGGGCGGGGGGGGGGGGTGGTGGGTGGGGTGGCTGGGGCAGGAAAACCGCGGCGTTGCGCTCCGCGCCGACTGTTTAACTCTCTCTGTCTCCTTTCTCCCCGCGCGGCTGGCAGCTGTCCAAGTTGCTGGTAAGTTGCCGCGGTTAGCCGCGTGTCGTGCGTTCCGCCGTAGCCGTCCCCTCTCTCTCTCTCTCTCTCCCCTCCCTCCACCCATCCGTTCCACCGTCTCTGCATGCGCCCGTCGGGTGTGGGGGTCTCGCGGGCTCGTGGTGCTGCTCCCCTCCCAGACAAACCCCACCTCTTCCCCCCCCCCCCCCCCCCGACCACGCGGGAGGGCAACGCGGAATTTGAATCTCGGGCGTTTGCCACTTTCCCCGCGTGGTGCCGGGCGACGGGGCTGCTTGTGCCCCCCCCTCCCCTCCCCGAGGTTTCCCCGGCTTCCCGTCTGGGAGGGGAAGGGGCGCGACTGTCCTCATTCCTCTCCTCGCTGGTGCCATCGGTCCCTCCTAACCCCCACCCACCTCCACCCACCTGGCTCACGTCACCCTCCGCTCCACCCCCCAATTTCCAGACGTTGTGGTGGTATGGTCCACGTCTAACCTGGTGCTCACAGCTCTCCCCCATGTTTTGCCGCTGTGGTGGTGCGGGTCCACCTCTTACCTGGTGTTCACAGCTCTCCCGCCATCTCCAGTCTCTGTGTTGGTACGGTCCACATCTAACGTGGTGTTGACAGCCCTTCTCCATCTCTTGACGCTGTGTTGGTACGGTCCACGTCTAACCTGGTGTTCACAGCCCTCCCCCATCTCTTGACGCTGTGTTGGTACAGTCCACATCTAACGTGGTGTTCACAGCCCTTCCCCATCTCTTGACGCTGTGTTGGTACGGTCCACGTCTAACCTGGTTCACAGCTGTCCCCCATCTCTTGACGCTGTTTGGTACGGTCCACATCTAATGTGGTGCTCACAGCCCTCCCCCATCTCTTGACGCTGTGTTGGTACGGTCCACGGCTAACGTGGTGTTCACAGCCCTCCCCCATCTCTAGACGCTGTGTTGGTACGGTCCACGTCTAACCTGGTGTTCACAGCCCTCCCCCATCTCTTGACGCTGTGTTGGTACGGTCCACGTCTAACCTGGTGTTCACAGCTCTCCCCCCATCTCCAGTCTCTGTGTTGGTACGGTCCACATCTAGCGTGGTGTTCACAGCTCATCCACCATCTCTAGTCTCTGTGTTGGTACGGTCCACATCTAACGTGGTGTTCACAGCTCACCCACCACCCACCATCTCTTGACGCTGTGTTGGTACGGTCCACGTCTAACCTGGTGTTCACAGCTGTCCCCCATCTCTAGTCTGTGGTGGTACGGTCCATTTCTAACCTGGTGTTCACAGCCGGTTCCATCGCTCGTGAGGGGTGGGGGTCGGTGCCGTGGTGGGGCTGCCGTGAGCTCTACCGGTTGCCACATTCTCACCGCCTTCGTGCTCAGCAGAAATGCCTTCGCTTGGCTCTGTGAGCCTCGGGCATTTCCCCTGAGCCCCGCGGGCTTGTGAAGCAAAAAACCTTTTGGTTCTTTGGAAGGCCCCCAGTCTGGCTCGATGAGCCTCAGGCTCTCCCATTGAGACACTTGAGAGGGCATCTCCAACCTGGGCCCGTGTGGTGAGCGTGGTGAGCGGTGTGGAGCGTGGTGAGCGGTGGTGAGCGGTGTGGAGCGTGGTGAGCGGTGTGGAGCGTGGTGAGCGATGTGGGGCGTGGTGAGCGGTGTGGAGCGTGGTGAGCGGTGTGGAGCGTGGTGAGCGGTGTGGAGCGTGGTGAGCGGTGTGGAGCGTGGTGAGCGGTGTGGAGCATGGTGAGCGATGTGGGGCGTGGTGAGCGGTGTGGGGCGTGGTGAGCGGTGTGGTGAGCGGTGTGGGGCGTGGTGAGCGTGGTGAGCGGTGTGGGGCATGGTGAGCGGTGTGGAGCGGAGTGAGCGGTGTGGAGCGTGGTGAGCGGTACTGAGCGTGGTGAGCAACGTGGAGCGTGGTGAGCGTGGTGGGCGTGGTGAGCGGTGTGGAGCGTGGTGAGCGTGGTGTGTGGTGTGGAGCGTGGTGAGCGGTGTGGAGCGGAGTGAGCGGTGGTGAACGTGGTGAGCGGTGTGGAGCGTGGTGAGTGGTGTGGAGTGGAGTGAGCGGTGGTGAGCGTGGTGAGCGTGGTGAGCGGTGTGAAGCGTGGTGAGCATGGTGAGCGGTGTGGAGCGTGGTGAGCGGTGTGGAGCGTGGTGAGCGTGGTGAACGGTGTGGAGCGTGGTGAGCAGTGTGGAGCGTGGTGAGCGGTGTGGAGCGTGGTGAGCGGTGTGGAGTGTGGTGAGCGGTGCTGAGCGGTGTGGAGCGCGCCGAGCGGTGCGGGGAGCGTTGTGGTCGAGCGAGGGCGTGTGCTGTGCCGTGGCTGACCGCGTCTCCTTTCTCGGCGTGACCGCCGCCCTCCACCCCGGGCCCCCCGGGCCCCCCCCCCGCCCCCCCCCCCCATCAGAGCAAGCACCAGAAGCACCAGGCGTTCGAGGCGGAGCTGCAGGCCAACGCCGACCGGATCCGCGGCGTCGTGGAGACCGGCAAGTCGCTCATCGGCCACGGCGGCTGCGCTGGCAGCGAGGACGCCGTGCAGGTGAGGGGGGCCGGAGAGGAGAGGGAGGAGGCAGGGGGGAGCAGTTTCGGCGAAGTTTGCCGTGGCGTCGTCGACGCGGTGACCAGGTCGCCGCGGCGACGGCGACCACGCCGACCACGTCGCCGTGACTACGTTGCCGTGTGCTCGGGTAGATGCGCATGAAGACGCTGACGGAGCAGTGGGACTACCTGGTGCGCAAGTCTTCCGAGAAGAGCCAGAAGCTCAAGGAGGCCAACCGGCAGCAGAACTTCAACACCGGCATCAAGGACTTTGACTTCTGGCTCTCGGAGGTGCTGCCCCCCCCCCCCAACCCTCATCGGAGCCACCGGCCCACAGACTCCACCGCGCCTCCATCGCTTTCACCACCGCCGCCTCCTCCACTACTGCCTCCACCTCCACCGCCACCACACCACAGACTCCACCGCCCACCACCGCGCCCTCCACCACCGCCGCCTCCTCCACTACCGCCGCCACCGCCGCCTCCACCCCATCGCCTCCACCGCCATCGCCTCCTCCACCACAGACTCCACCGCCACCGTCCCCACCACCCCCAACACCCTCACCACCACCCCCAACACCCTCACCGCCCCCACCCCTCTCACCGCCTCCACCACCCCCACCACCCCCACCACCCTCACCACCCTCACCACCTCCACCACCCTCACCACCCTCACCACCCCCACCACCCCCACCACCCTCACCACCACCCCCAACACCCTCACCACCACCCCCACCACCCTCACCACTCCCACCACCCCCACCACCCTCACCACCACCCCCAACACCCTCACCACCACCCCCACCACCCTCACCACCCTCACCACCCTCACCACCCCCACCACTACCCTCACCACCCCCACCTGGTGACGCTGTTGCTGCTGCCCCCCCCCACCCTTCCTTTCCGCTTGGTGCAGGTGGAGGCGCTGCTCGCCTCCGAGGATTATGGGAAGGACCTGGCGTCCGTGAACAACCTGCTCAAGAAGCACCAGCTGCTGGACACGGACATCTCGGCACACGGGGTGCGGCGCTGGCACGGCACAACCACCACACACACAGCACAACCGTCACAACAACCACGGCTCCTACACACACACAGCACAACCATCACAACAACCACGGCTCCTACACACACACAGCACAACCATCACAACAACCATGGCTCCTACACACACACAGCACAACCACCACAACCACCACGGCTCCTACACACACACAGCACAACCGTCACAACAACCACGGCTCCTACACACACACAGCACAACCGTCACAACAACCACGGCTCCTACACACACACACAGCACAACCGTCACAACAACCACGGCTCCTACACACACACAGCACAACCACCACAAGAACCACGGCTCCTACACACACACACAGCACAACCGTCAAAACAACCACGGCTCCTACACACACACAGCACAACCGTCACAACAACCACGGCTCCTACACACACACAGCACAACCGTCACAACAACCACGGCTCCTACACACACACAGCACAACCATCACAAGAACCACGGCTCCTACACACACACACAGCACAACCATCACAACAACCACGGCTCCTACACACACACACAGCACAACCGTCACAACAACCACGGCTCCTACACACACACAGCACAACCGTCACAACAACCACGGCTCCTACACACACAGCACAACCATCGCAACAACCACGGCTCCTACACACACACAGCACAACCGTCACAACAATCACGGCTCCTACACACACACAGCACAACCATCACAACAACCACGGCTCCTACACACACACAGCACAACCGTCACAACAACCATGGCTCCTACACACACACAGCACAACCACCACAAGAACCACGGCTCCTACACACACACACAGCACAACCATCACAACAACCACGGCTCCTCCACACACACAGCACAACCATCACAACAACCACGGCTCCTACACACACACAGCACAACTACCACAACAACCACGGCTCCTAGACACACACACAGCACAACCACCACAACCACGGCTCTTCCACACACACACAGATCATGACCACCACGGCTACTCCACTCGCAGCGCAACCGCCACCACAACCACGGCTCCTACACACACACACAGCACAACCGCCACCGCAACCACGGCTCCTACACACACACACAGCGCAACCGCCACCACAACCACGGCTCCTACACACACACAGCACAACCACCACAACCACGGCTCCTACACACACACACAGATCATGACCACCACAACCACGGCTCCTACACACACACAGCACAACCACCATAACCACGGCTCCTACACACACACACAGATCATGACCACCACAACCACGGCTCCTACACACACACAGCACAACCACCACAACCACGGCTCCTACACACACACAGCGCCACCACAACACACGGCTCCTACACACACACAGCACAACCACCACAACCACGGCTCCTACACACACACAGCGCAACCGCCAGCACAACACACGGCTCCTACACACACACAGCACAACCGCCACCACAACACACGGCTCCTACACACACACAGCACAACCACCACAACACACGGCTCCTCCGTGGCACACCACCGATCCACGGCGCCGAATCCCCGCGTCGCCGCGAGACTCCACGGCCGCGTGACCCCCGTCGACCCCCCCCGACCCCCGTCCCTTCCTCCCCAGGACCGGCTCAAGGACCTGAACTCGCAGGCCGAGAGCCTGATGGCGAGCGACGCGTTCGACCCGGCGGCCGTGCGGGCCAAGCGCGACGCCGTCAACGACCGCTTCGGCCGCGTGGTGGAAGCGGCGCGCGCCCGGCAGGCGCGCCTCGGCGAGTCGCACCGCCTGCACCAGTTCTTCCGTGACCTCGACGACGAGGAGTCCTGGATCAAGTGAGCGCCGCCGGAGAGGGGGGGGTAGCGGTGGCGGGGGGAAGGGCTGGGTGGCTAAGAAGGCGTTGTCTCCCTCGCCCTGGTGTGCACAGGAGGGTCGCGGGTTAGTTTTGGGTGGGGGGGGAGCGGTTGGATGGACTTGTAGTCGTTGTTGTGTCTGCGCGCGCTTACAGCGCTTGCCCCGACAGCGCGTCGAAGGCTATACGGGTGGGGACCTTTGTCTGTGTCTGTTGGCACAGTAGGGGGGGTACAGCTGGTGGTGCATCTTACCGGTGATCTCAGTCGGTCGACCCACGGCACCTGCAGGGTCTGTCCCGAGGCCTCCTGCACCTAGCCTGGCACAGTAGGGGGCACAGGTGGTGCATCTGCCGGTGATCTCAGTCAGTAGACATCCACGGCACCTGCAGGGTCTGTCCCGTGAGCTCATGCACCTAGCCTGGCACAGTGGGTGGCACAGGTGGTGCATCTGCCGGTGATCTCAGTCGACCCACGGCACCTGCAGGGTCTGTCACGTGACCTCCTGCTAGCAGTGATCTTTACCTTTGCGTCTGTCCTAGTGTGCTGCTGCTGCTGCTGCTGTGTACTGACCCGACCGTCCCTCCTCCCCCGTGTGCGTGGCCCCTCGCCCCCCCACCTTGCACCGCCCCCCCCCAACCCCCTTCGTCTTTGTAGAGAGAAGAAGCTGCTGGTGGGCTCTGAGGACTACGGCCGAGACCTCACGGGGGTGCAGAACCTGCGCAAGAAACACAAGCGGCTGGAGGCAGAGCTGGCGGCCCACGAGCCTGCCATCCAGGTACCCCCCACCACACCCACGTACCCCCCCACCACCACACCCACGTACCGCTCCCTGCCATCCAGGTACCCCCCACCACACCCACGTACCCCCCCACCACCACACCCACGTACCGCTCCCTGCCATCCAGGTACCCCCCACCACACCCACGTACCCCCCCCACCACCACACCCACGTACCGCTCCCTGCCATCCAGGTACCCCCCACCACACCCACGTACCCCCCACCACCACACCCACGTACCGCTCCCTGCCATCCAGGTACCCCCCACCACACCCACGTACCCCCCACCACCACACCCACGTACCGCTCCCTGCCATCCAGGTACCCCCCACCACACCCACGTACCCCCCCACCACCACACCCACGTACCGCTCCCTGCCATCCAGGTACCCCCCACCACACCCACGTACTCCCCCCCACCACACCCACGTACCGCTCCCCGCCATCCAGGTACCCCCCCCCACCCCACCCACGTACCGCCCCTCCCCACCCACGTACCACCCCCCCCCCACCCATTTACTGCCCCCCCCACCCACGTACCGCCCCCCCCCCCCACCCACTTACTGCCCCCCCACCCACGTACCGCCCCCATGCACTCCGGGTACCATCCCCGCACACCACCGCCATGCTGGTGTCCGACGGGCGTGGCGAAGATGCCCCCCCCTCCCCCGCTGCGCCATCTCACGAGCGACGCTGCTGCCCTTGCTGCTGCTGCCGCCACTGCTGCTGCCCCTCCTGCCATTGCTGCTGCTGCTGCCCCTCCTGCCACTGCTGCCACTGCTGCCGCCACCCCTCCTGCCATTGCTGCTGCCCCTCCTGCCGCCACTGCTGCTGCCCCTCCTGCCATTGCTGCTGCTGCCCCTCCTGCCACTGCTGCCACTGCTGCCGCCACCCCTCCTGCCATTGCTGCTGCTGCTGCCCCTCCTGCCACTGCTGCCGCCGCCCCTCCTGCCACTGCTGCCACTGCTGCCCCTCCTGCCACTGCTGCCACTGCTGCCGCCGCCCCTCCTGCCACTGCTGCTGCCCTTGCTGCTGCTGCTGCTGCTGCCCCCAGGCGGTGCAGGAGTCGGGCAAGAAGCTGGTGGCGGAGAACACCATCGGGAAGGGGGAGATCGAGCAGAGGCTGCGCCAGTTCGGGGAGCACTGGAGGGAGCTCAAGGAGCACGCCACGGCCAGGTGGAGACGCACGGGGGCAGGGGGGGGGTGGGCGGGGGGGGTGGGTGGGCGGGGAGGGGGTGCACGGGGGCAGGGGGGGGGGTGGGCGGGGCAGGGGGGGGGCGCGCGGGGAGACGTGGGGGTGGGGACATGTGGGGAGGCACGGGGGGGGGTGAGATGCATGGGGGGGGGGAGGGTACACGGTGGGGGGGGAGGGTACACGGTGGGTGGGAGGGTACACGGTGGGGGGGAGGGTACACGGTGGGGGGGAGGGTACACGGTGGGGGGGAGGGTACACGGTGGGGGGGAGGGTACACGGTGGGTGGGAGGGTACACGGTGGGGGGGAGGGTACACGGTGGGTGGGAGGGTACACGGTGGGGGGGAGGGTACACGGTGGGGGGGAGGGTACACGGTGGGTGGGAGGGTACACGGTGGGGGGGAGGGTACACGGTGGGTGGGAGGGTACACGGTGGGGGGGGGAGGGTACACACGGTGGGGGGGAGGGTACACGGTGGGGGGAGGGGAGACGTGGGGGGGGGAGACGTGGGGAGCGGACACGCGGGAAGGACGCACGAGGAGGAGATGTACGGAGGGACGCACGGGGGGGGGGGGTGGGGGCGACACACGGTGTTGACACGGCGGGGCGGGCGACACGCACGGGGGGTGAACACACGGGGAGACGTGCGTTGGCGACGGCGCTCGGGCAGGCGCTCACGGGCCTCGGTGCGCGCTCGCAGGGGCCAGCGGCTGGAGGAGTCGCTCGACTACCAGCAGTTCGTGGCCAACGTGGAGGAGGAGGAGGCCTGGATCAACGAGAAGCTCAACCTGGTCGGCAGCGAGGACTACGGAGACACGCTCGCCGCCGTGCAGGTGCGGAGCCGCCGCCGGCGGTGGCGGTCGTGGTCGTGTTGGCGGCGGCGGCGGCGGTGGTGGTTGTGGTCGTGGTCGTGTTGGCGGCGGCGGTGGTCGTGGCGGTGATTGGTTGTGGTCGTGGTGGTCATGGTGGCGGTCGTGGTGGTTGTGGTCGTGTTGGCGGTGGCAGCGGTGGTGGTCGTGTTGGCGGTGGCGGCGGTGGTGGTCGTGTTGGCGGTGATTGGTCGTGGTGGTGGTGGTCATGGTGGCGGTCGTGGTGGTGGTGGTTATTATGGTGGTGGCGGTCATGGAGGCGGTGGCGGTGGTGGTGGCGGCAGCGGTGGTGGAGGTGAAGAGGCTCGTGAAGGACGCTGCTACTGGGCAGTTGGAGGCATTCGCCCTTCAACAACAACAGAGGGCTAAAATGCAGGACGTTGGCAGAGTAGAGGGTACAGTTGGTGGTGCATCTACCGGTCATGGTACCGCCTGGGTCTGTCCCGTGACCTCCTGCCGGCGAGCCTTACGACACTTCACGTGGCCTCAAAGTGCACCTAGCTTGGCACAGGCGCCGTGGTGAGGTCACCGTCGCTTAGTGGCGAATGGCGGGTATTGGTGCGGCGGTGGTGGTGACTGATTATGTCCGTGCTGGCGGTGTTGGTGATATTTTTGTTCAATTACAGTTGCTACAGGTGTGTGAATTAGTGAGAGATGGTGCTGAGCGGGTGAGTGAGTGAACGAGCGATGGGGTGAGCGGGCGAGTAAGTGGTGGGCGAGTGAGCAGTGAGCGGGTGAGTGAGTGGCTTCGAGAGTGACAAAGGGTGAGCGGGTGAGTGAACACGCAGGCGATGGTCGAGTGAGTGAGCAGTGGGCGGCCGGGTGAGTGAGCGAGTGAGCAGTGAGTGGGCGGGCGGGCGAGCGAGCGGCTGAGCGGGTGGGCGAGTGAATGAGCAGCGGGCGGGCGGGTGGTCGGGCGAGCGAGTGAGCGGTGAGTGAGCGGCATGGAGAGTGATGAGGGGCGAGCGAGCGGACGCGTGCGTGCGTGCGTGCGTGCCCCTCACTCTCCGCCCCCCCCTCTCTCCCGCAGGGCCTGCTGAAGAAGCACGAGGCGTTTGAGACGGACTTTGCCGTCCACCGCGACCGCGTCAACGACGTCTGCGCCAGCGGGGACCAGCTCATCCGCACGGTGGGGCCCGCGGCACGCGCGGTGGCGGTTGTGCGGTGGCGGTTGTGCGGTGGTGGTTGTGTGCACGCAGTGTTCCTCTGCGTGCTTGTTTACGATGCTGTCTCTGTGTGAGCGGGCGGTCGAGCGAGCGGTTGAGCGAGCACGTGGTTGTGTGTGCGGTCGAGCGAGCAAACGTGCGGTCGAGCGAGCGGTTGAGCGAGCACGTGGTTGTGTGTGCGGTGGAGTGAGCGGTCGAGCGGTTGTGCCGTTGGTTGCGCCACAGAACAACCACCACACCAAGGTGATTGGCGAGCGCATGCGGGGCCTACGGGAGCGCGTGGACGGCCTGGCCTCGGCGGCCGCGACGCGCAAGGCCAAGCTGGAGGAGAACTCGGCCTTCCTGCAGTTCAACTGGAAGGCCGACGTCGTCGAGTCCTGGATCGGTGCGCGCCGCGGGGACGCCACGCACGCGCACACACACGCACGCGCACACACGTGTGCACACGTGTGTGCGCACTCACACATTCACGCGCTCGCACACACATGCACGCGCGCACACACATGTGCATGAAAACGCACGCATGCACATGCACGTGCACACACAGACAATACGCTCGTCCGTGTGTGCTGGGTCGCTACGAGTGACTAAGCAAGTGGCTGGGGCAGTGCCAGTGACTTAGTGAGTGGCTGGGTCGGTGCGAGTGACCGAGCGAGTGACCGGATCGGAGCGAGTGACTGAGCGATTGGGTGGATCGGTGTGAGTAACCGGATCGGTGCGAGTGACCGAACAAGTGGCTGGGTCGGTGGGAGCAAGCGAGCGACTGGATCGGTGCGAGTGGCTGAGCGAGCGACTGAGTCTTGTGCATGTGACTGAGCAAGTGACTGAGCGTGTAGCTGGGTCAGTGCGAGTGGCTGAGCGAGCGACTGAGTCTTGTGCGTGTGACTGAGCGAGTGACTGAGCGTGTGGCCGGGTCAGTGTGAGTGGCTGAGCGAGCGACTGAGTCTTGTGCATGTGACTGAGCAAGTGACTGAGCGTGTGGCTGGGTCAGTGCGAGTGGCTGAGCGAGCGACTGAGTCTTGTGCGTGTGACTAAGCGAGTGACTGAGCGAGCGACTGAGTCTTGTGCGTGTGACTGAGCGAGCGACTGAGTCTTGTGCGTGTGACTGAGCGAGCGACTGAGCAAGTGGCTGGGTCAGTGCGTGTGACTGAGCGAGTGAGCGACTGAGTCTTGTGCGTGTGATTGAGCGAGTGAGCGACTGAGTCTTGTGCGTGTGACTGAGCGAGTGACTTGTGCGTGTGGCTGGGTCGGTGCGAGTGGCTGAGCGAGCGACGGAGTCTTGTGCGTGTGACTGAGCGAGTGACTTGTGCGTGTGGCTGGGTCGGTGCGAGTGGCTGAGCGAGCGACGGAGTCTTGTGCGTGTGACTGAGCGAGTGACTTGTGCGTGTGCGCCGTCTTGCAGACGAGAAGGAGAGCAGCCTGAAGACAGACGACTACGGCCGGGACCTCTCCTCCGTGCAGACGCTGCTCACCAAGCAGGTGCCGTCCCCGACGACCCCCTCGACGACCTCCCGACGACCCCCTCGACGACCCCCTCGACGACCCCCTCGACGACCCCCTCAACGACCCCCTCGACGACCCCCTCGACGACCCCCTCAACGACCTCCCGACGACCCCCTCAACGACCCCCTCGACGACCCCCTCGACGACCCCCTCAACGACCTCCCGACGACCCCCTCGACGACCCCCTCGACGACCCCCTCGACGACCCCCTCGACGACCCCCTCGACGACCCCCTCGACGACCCCCCTACGACCCCTTACCCCCCGACGACCCCTGACCCCCCCCGACGACCGCCTGGGGGGGTTGAGAGTGCGGTGCTGTTTAAAGAGCCGCCCCCACTTTACACGCCCCCCGTGTGTTGATGCCCCTCGCGCTGCGCGGTAGACACTGCTTCAGGCAGGAGACGGGTAAGCCCTGGAGCCCTCCAGCAGAGCCCTGCCGTGGAGCTCTGCTGTGAGGCCCCCGCGGTAAAGCCCTCCAGCCAGAGCCCTGTAGTGGAGCTCCGTGGTGGAGCCCTCGAGCAGAGCTCCACAGTAGAACTCTCCAGCAGAGCTTCTTGCGGAGTTCCAGAATAGTCGTACAGTCGGTGAAGCCTGTTTTGTTTTTGTGCGTGGTGTCCTCTGTGTGAGAGCCCACCCCCCCCATGTCTGCGTGTGATCCCCCGTGTCTGTGTGTGCGCGCACGCGCTCACCCGTGTCTGCGTGCATCTCTGTGTGTGCTCACCCGTGTCTGTGCGCGACGATCCCCCGTGCCTGTGCACATCTGCGCGTGTCTGCGCGTGCCCTCGCCCGTGCCTCCGCGCGTGCGCTCACCCGTGCCCGCGCGTCCGCCGTCCGCAGGAGACGTTCGACGCGGGTCTCCACGCGTTCAACCAGGAGGGCATCGCCAACATCACGGCGCTCAAGGACACGCTGCTGGCGGCGCGCCACGTGCAGGCGCGCGCCATCGAGGCGCGCCACGCCGCCCTCATCACCCGCTGGAACTCGCTGCTCGCCGCCTCGCAGGCGCGCAAGCAGCGCCTGCTGGAGGCGCAGCTGCACTACCGCAAGGTGCGGTCCCGGAGGGGGGGGGGGGGGTGGGTGGTGGTGATGGTGGTGGTGGTGGGAGCGACAGTGTAGCGGTTAGCGCTACGCTGCGCTATGAACCCGTGTGTGTACGTGTGTGTGTGTACGGGTGTGTATGTGTACGTGTGTGTGTGTACGGGTGTGTATGTGTGTGTATGTGTACGGGTGTGTGTGTGTGTGTACGTGTGTGTGTGTATGTGTACGTGTGTGTGTACGGGTGTGTGTGTGTATGTGTGTACGTGTGTGTGTGTACGTGTGTGTATGTGTACGTGTGTGTGTACGTGTGTGTACGTGTGTGTGTATGTGGGGAGCGACAGTGTAGCGGTTAGCACTACGCTGCGCTATGAACCCGGCAATCCGGGTTCGATTCCCGCTCATTGCCAACACCCAGTGACGATTATCTGAACAGGTCCTGGGCCTCCCCTAGGTCAGCTAGGCCTCAAATGAATACCTGGTGTTGTGTGTGTAGTAAACGTCGCCACTGGGGAGACAAAGGCGGTCGGGCGTGGTGCTGGCCACCCACCCCCTCGTGTACCGTTCCGGCCTTCATAGGTGCTCGCTAACAGCACTTGCCCCTACGGTCTGTCAAGGCTATACGGGGGGTCTTTGTCTTTGGTGCTTGCTTAACAGCACTTGCCCCAACAGTGTAAAAGTCTTTGTCGGGGTGGGGGGGGGATCCTTTGTTTTTAGTGGTGGTGAAGGTTGTTGTGGTGGTTGTGATTGTGGTGGTTGTGATTGTGGTGACGATTGTGGTGCTTGTACGGCGGTGGTGGCGTGCGGTGATTGCGGTGGCGATTGTAATCGTGGCGATGAGTTGTGGCGATGGTTATGATGATGATGATGACTATGGCGGCGGCGGCGGTCGCGATTGTAATCGTGGTCGCGATTGTAATCGTGGTCGTGATTGTAATTGCGGTGGCGGTTGTGGTGCGGGGGGGCAGGTGGAGGACCTGTTCCTCACCTTCGCCAAGAAGGCGTCGGCGTTCAACAGCTGGTTCGAGAACGCCGAGGAGGACCTCACGGACCCCGTGCGCTGCAACTCGCTCGAGGAGATCCGCGCCTTGCGGGAGGCGCACGAAGCCTTCAGGTGAGCCGCGGGGGGGGGGGGGGGGGGGGGGGCGGGGGGCATGGGTGTGGGGGGACACACGGGTGGGGGGGGGGACACACTCTTACACGCACCCCCTGTACCACACACATACTCTTACACACACACACCCTCTCTACCACACACACACACTCACACCCTCTCTACCACTCACACAGACTTACACACAACCTCTCTACCACACACACTCACATCCTCTCTACCACTCACACAGACTTACACACACACCCTCTCTACCACACACACACTCGCACCATCTCTACCACTCACACAGACTTACACACACCCTCTCTACTACACACACACTCACACCATCTCTACCACTCACACAGACTTACACACACACCCTCTCTACCACACACATACACTCACACCCTCTTTACCACTCACACAGACTTACACACACCCTCTCTACCACACACACACTAACACCCTCTCTACCACTCACACAGACTCACACACACACACCCTCTCTACCACACACACACACCCTCTCTACCACACACACACTCACACCCCCTCAACCACTCAGACTCACACACACACACCCTTTCTACCACACACATACTCTTACACACACACCCTCTACCACACACACACACTCACACCCTCTTTAGCACTCACACGCTCTTACACACTCACACCCTCTCTACCATGCACACACTCACATCACACCCTCTACCACTCGCACATAGACTCACACGCGCTTACACACACCCTGTCTACCACACACACTCGCACATTCTTACACACACACTCACACCCTCTCTTTCCTCGCTCGTTGCCCTGACCCTTCTGCCTGTGACCCCGTGACCCCACGACCCCGCGACCCCACGACCCCGACTACCCCAGGGCGTCCCTGAGCCATGCGGAGGCAGACTTCCTGCAGCTGGGGGAGCTGGACCGGCAGATCAAGGGTCACCGCGTCTCCTCCAACCCGTACACCTGGTTCACCATGGAAGCCCTGGAGGAGACCTGGCGGAACCTGCAGAAGATCATGAAGGTCCGGGGCACCTCGCGCGCGTCCGACTGTCCGACTGCGTGCGACTGTGTCCGACTGCGTGCGACTGTGCGTGTTGGTGTGTGACTGTGCGACTGCGTGTGACGGTGTGCGGCTGTCCATGTTGGTGTGTGACTGTGCGATTGTGCGTGTTGGTGTGTGACTGTGCAGCTGTCCGTGTTGGTGTGTGACGGTGTGCGACTGCGTGTGACGGTGTGTGACTGTGCGTGTTGGTGTGTGACTGTGCGACTGTGCGTGTTGGTGTGTGACTGTCCGTGTTGGTGTGTGACTGCGCGACTGTCCGTGTTGGTGTGTAACGGTGTGCGACTGCGTGTGACGGTGTGCGGCTGTCTGTGTTGGTGTGTGACTGTGCGACTGTGCGTGTTGGTGTGTGACTGTGCGACTGCGTGTGACGGTGTGTGACTATGAGACTGCGTGCGACTGTGCGTGTTGGTGTGTGACGGTGTGCGACTGCGTGTGACGGTGTGCGGCTGTCCGTGTTGGTGTGTGACTGTGCGACTGTGCGTGTTGGTGTGTGACTGTGCGACTGCGTGTGACGGTGTGTGACTGCGTGTTGGTGTGTGACGGTGTGCGACTGTCCGTGTTGGTGTGTGACTGTGCGACTGTACGTGTTGGTGTGTGACTGCGACTGTACGTGTTGGTGTGTGACGGTGTGCGACTGTGCGTGTTGGTGTGTGACTGTGCGTGTTGGTGTGTGACTGTGCGACTGTACGTGTTGGTGTGTGACGGTGTGTGACTGTGCGTGTTGGTGTGTGACGGTGTGCGACTGTGCGTGTTGGTGTGTGACGGTGTGCGACTGTGCGTGTTGGTGTGTGACGGTGTGCCACTGTGCGTGTTGGTGTGTGCGTGCTGGTGTGTGACGGTGTGCGACTGTGTGTGACGGTGTGTGACTGTGCGACTGTGCGTGACGTGCTGACGAGCCCCCCCGCGGTGCGTTTCGCCCCCGGCGTGGTGCAGGAGCGCGAGCAGGAGCTGCAGAAGGAGCAGCGCCGCCAGGAGGAGAACGACAAACTCCGGCAGGAGTTCGCTCAGCACGCCAACGCCTTCCACCAGTGGCTCACCGAGACCAGGTCCAGCCTCACCCTCCCAGCCATGCGCTCGTTCGCTCACTGGATCATTCACTCGCTCGCTCACTGGCTCACTCGCTCGCTCACTCGTTCGCCACGCCAACGCCTTCCATCAGTAGCTCACCAAGATCAGGTCCAACCCCCCCCCCCCTCCAGCTATGCGCTCACTCGCTCGCTCACTCGCTCACTGGCTCACTCACTCGCTCGCTCACTCACTCACTGGTTCACTGGCTCACTCGTTCGCCACGCCAACGCCTTCCATCAGTAGCTCACCGAGACCAGGTCCAACCCCCCCCCTCCAGCTATGCGCTCACTCGCTCGCTCAATCGCTCACTGGCTCACTCACTCGCTCGCTCACTCACTCACTGGTTCACTGGCTCACTCACTCGCTCGCTGACTCGCTCACTGGCTCACTCACTTGCTCGCTCACTCGTTTGCCACGCCAACGCCTTCCATCAATAGCTCACCGAGACCAGGTCCAGCCTCACCCTCCCAGCTGCTCGCTCGCTCACCGACTCACTCGCTCGCTGGCTCATTCGCTCACCACGCGCCAGCGCCTTCCACCAATGGCTCACCGAGACCAGGTCCAGCCTCATCCTCCCAGCCATGCGCTCGCTCATTCACTCGCTCGCTCCACACCACGCCCGGGCCAGCTGCTCGCTTGGCACGCACACAGGAGGAGCGGGGTGGGAGTAGGAGGAGGGGGAGGAGAATGGGGGAGTGGAGGAGGATGGGGGGGGGAGGACGAGGAGCAGGAGGAGCGTTGAACGTGCGCGTGGCGGCTGGACTAAATCGACGACGGTGAGAGAGCGGTGAATCCGTGGCGTGCGGGAAACCGAGGAGGGGAGGCGGAGGCCGAGCCGGCGTCGTGGAGCCAAGACAGGGGCGAGGTGTGGTGGGGGAGGGGGTGAGCGAACGCCCCAAGGGGGGGTGAGCGAACGGCGTTGCCGCCGTGGTGGTGGTGGTGGATGCAGGCTAACGTCGCCCGTGTTGTTCCTTCTCTCTTCCCACGCCTCCCTCGCCTCATTCCATTTCCTGTCCGATCCGATTGGTCTTCATCGTGATTTCTGGCGTGCCCCCCCCCACACACCACCGCCCCCCCCCCCCCACTACGAATCCGTTGTCCGTGTTTTCTGCCTCCTCGTCGCGGCGTCTCTCCGCCGCCGACGAATCTGCGACGATGGCCGGGGCCCCCGGTGGACAGGACCTACCTCCTGGACGGGTTAATACCGCACGCTCGCACGCGCGGCCACGCAGCCCACACACGTGTGCCCACACACGCGTGTACACACGCACGCGTGTGCCCACACGCGCGCACAGCCCACCCACGCGCACACACAAACTCCACTCACGCATACACACACACACAATCCACCCACGCGTACACACACACACACAATCCACCCACGCGTGTACACACACACACAGCCCAAACACGCGTACACACACACAGTCCACCCACGCGTACACACACACACAGTCCACCAACGTGTACACACACACAGTGCACCCACGTGTACACACACACAATCCACCCACGCGTGTACACACACACAATCCACCCACGTGTACACACACACACAATCCACCCACGCGTACACACACACACAATCCACCCACGCGTGTACACACACACACAGTCCACCCACGCGTACACACACACAGTCCACCCACGTGTACACACACACACACAGTCCACCCACGTGTACACACACACACACACAGTCCACCCACGTGTACACACACACAGTCCACCCACGTGTACACACACACACACAGTCCACCCACGCGTACACACACACACACAGTCCACCCACGTGTACACACACAGTCCACCCACGCGTACACACACACACAGTCCACCCACGTGTACACACACAGTCCACCCACGCGTACACACACACACAGTCCACCCACGTGTACACACACACACACAGTCCACCCACGTGTACACACACACACACACAGTCCACCCACGTGTACACACACACAGTCCACCCACGTGTACACACACAGTCCACCCACATGTACACACACACACACAGTCCACCCACGCGTACACACACACACACAGTCCACCCACGTGTACACACACAGTCCACCCACGCGTACACACACACACAGTCCACCCACGTGTACACACACAGTCCACCCACGCGTACACACACACACAGTCCACCCACGCGTACACACACACACAGTCCACCCACGTGTACACACACACACACACAGTCCACCCACGTGTACACACACACAGTCCACCCACGTGTACACACACAGTCCACCCACATGTACACACACACACACAGTCCACCCACGCGTACACACACACACACAGTCCACCCACGTGTACACACACAGTCCACCCACGCGTACACACACACACAGTCCACCCACGTGTACACACACAGTCCACCCACGCGTACACACACACACAGTCCACCCACGCGTACACACACACACAGTCCACCCACGTGTACACACACACACACAGTCCACCCACGTGTACACACACACAGTCCACCCACGTGTACACACACACACAGTCCACCCACGTGTACACACACACACACAGTCCACCCACGTGTACACACACACAGTCCACCCACGTGTACACACACACACACGCGTGCGTGTCCACGGCAGCCACTCTGGGCAAGCCCCCCCTCCCCTCGCCTCCCCGTGCCTCCCTCTCCGTTCCTCTTGAATTAGCTTCACGCTTCTCCGTTTTCTCGAGTTTATGTCCCCGAGTTTGTCTCTGTGCCGACGCTGCCGGTGCCGGCGCTGGTGGTGGTACTGTCGGTGTTCGTGTCTCACTCTGCTCTTGTCTCCCTCTTCCTCCTCCTCCTCCTCCTCGTCCCCCTCCTCCTCGCTGTGCTCGTCCCCGCCATCGCCCCCCCCCGCGCGCGCGCCACGCAGCATAGCGTACCGGCGCATCATTCGCGTCCTTAAATACGAAGTGGGCGACGATCTGGCCGGAAGGTTGCCGCCGCTGACCTCCCACCCCCACTACCACCCCCACTACCGCCACCCCCACTACCACCACCCCCACTACCGCCATCACCGCCGCCGCTGACCCCCCCCACCACCACCCGTCCCCGCAGGCCGAGAGCCTCTGAGCGGCCTAGGCGCGCCCACACCACAACGCAAAGAGTTGCGAATCATTACCGGGCGGCGGCGGTAGTGGTGGTGGTGATGGTGGCGGTAGTAGTGATGGTGGTGGCGGGGCCGTTGGACGGCGTGCCCCCCCCCCCTCCCCCCCCGTGTTTGCCGTGTGGTGGAGCCTGGCGGTGCATGAGTCCCACGGGGCCCTCCTCTAACCCCTTAACCCTCCGCCAAACTCGACCAGTAGTAGCTGCTGCTGCTGGTGCTGCATGGGGATGGAGAGTCCGTGGTGTCACTAACCGCGGTGTGCTAACCCCTGGGCTCGGCCGGCTGCCGCCAGTGTGGCTCGCTCGGTGGCGGTCGCGGGCGCTGTTGGTTGTGTCACACGCCACGTGACGAGTGTGGTGGACTAACCCCTTGGGTGACCAGAGCATGGCCAGGAGTGTGGTGTGCAGCGTGCCGTGCCGTGTGTCCCCGGTGTGTGTGTACCGTGTGTCCCCGGTGTGTGTGTGCCGTGTGACCCCAGCGTGCCGTGTGACCTCAGTGTGCCGTGTGACCCCAGCATGTGACCCCAGTGTGCCGTGTGACCCCAGTGTGTGACCCCAGCGTGCCGTGTGACCCCAGCGTGCCGTGTGTCCCCGGTGCATGTGCCGTGTGTGCCGTGTGACCCCAGTGTGCCGTGTGTGCCGTGTGACCCCAGTGTGCCGTGTGACCCCAGCGTGCCGTGTGACCCCAGCATGTGACCCCAGCGTGCCGTGTGACCCCAGCGAATGACCCCAGCGTGCCGTGTGACCCCAGCGTGCCGTGTGACCCCAGCGTGTGACCCCAGTGTGCCGTGTGACCCCAGCGTGCCATGTGACCCCAGCGTGTGACCCCAGCGTGCCGTGTGACCCCAGCGTGTCGTGTGACCCCAGTGTGCCGTGTGACCCCAGTGTGCCGTGTGACCCCAGCGTGTGACCCCAGTGTGCCTTGTGACCCCAGCGTGTGACCCCAGTGTGCCGTGTGACCCCAGTGTGCCGTGTGACCCCAGCGTGTGACCCCAGCGTGCCGTGAGACCCCAGCGTGCCGTGTGACCCCCAGCGTGCCGTGTGACCCCAGCGGTCGTGTGACCCCCAGCGTGCCGTGTGACCCCGGCGTGTGACCCCAGCGTGCCGTGTGACCCCAGCGTGCCGTGTGACCCCCAGCGTGCCGTGTGACCCCAGCGGCCGTGTGACCCCCAGCGTGCCGTGTGACCCCGGCGTGTGACCCCAGCGTGCCGTGTGACCCCCAGCGTGCCGTGTGACCCCCAGCGTGCCGTGTGACCCCGGCGTGTGTGCTGCCACACTGACCCAGCGTGCCGTGTGCCCAGGTCGTGCATGGTGGAGGAGTCCGGCACGCTGGAGTCTCAGCTGGAGGCCACTAAGGTACGTACGTCCGTGTGTGGGTGTTGTTTGACGGTGATCTCTGTATGTGTAGTGTATAGTGTAGTGTACGTATGTTGAACTTGTTTCGCACCGTCAGTAGCCAACCGCGCTAATCGGAGGTGCGGGGGAAGGACAACAAACTTAAGCACAGAAACAGCAGTTCTAAAGAATTTTTTTTCAAAATAGTATGGTGGTGTCATGTATAGCAGGGTAGTGTATAATCATGTAGTGTATAGTGTAGTGTGTAGCGTCGTGTGTAGTTTATAGTAGTGTGGTATATACTAGTGCAGTGTATAGTACAGTGGCACCCCGGAGATGGAACTTAATTCGTTCCAGAAGGCCACTCGAACACCGATTTGTTCGAACGCCGAATTCATTTTCCCCATAAGAATTAATGCCAATGACATTAATTGGTTCCAGACACAAGAAATATCTCATTATAAAGCATTTTTACACGAAGTATACAGTAATTACACGCATAAAATCATACAAGAAACACAATAAATAAATGGAATAGATGAAATAAATGAACATTGGGCTTCACTTTTACCTGTAGTGAGGAGAGTTGATGGCTTGAGTGGAAGGTGGTGAGGAGGTGGTGGTGGTGTTATTGTTTGGAAGGGGAGTCCCCTTTGTCTGAGCAAGCGTCATGCACGCTGCTGGTCACACGCGTCTCAGCCATGCAGGTTATTTCAAGTCGTGATTGCCGTTCGACCTCCGAATTTCGTTCGGTTTCCGGGGCAACAAAATGTTCAGAAATACTAAAATATCGTTCAAACACCGATTTGTTCGAGTTCTGGTGCGTTCTATCTCCGGGGTTCTACTGTAGTGTGGTGTATAGTAGTGTAGTATATACTAGTGTAGTATATAGTAGTGTAGTGTATAGTAGTGTAGTATATACTAGTGTGGTATATAGTAGTGTAGTATATACTAGTGTAGTATATAGTAGTGTAGTGTATAGTAGTGTAGTGTATACTAGTGTGGTATATAGTGTAGTGTAGTATATACTAGTGTAGTATATAGTAGTGTAGTGTATAGTAGTGTGGTATATAGTAGTGTAGTGTATAGTAGTGTGGTGTATAGTAGTGTGGTGTATACTAGTGTGGTGTATAGTAGTGTGGTATATAGTGTAGTATATACTAGTGTAGTATATAGTAGTGTAGTGTATAGTAGTGTAGTATATAGTAGTGTAGTGTATAGTAGTGTGGTATATAGTAGTGTAGTGTATAGTAGTGTAGTGTATAGTAGTGTGGTGTATACTAGTGTGGTATATAGTGTAGTGTAGTATATAGTAGTGTAGTGTATAGTAGTGTGGTATATAGTAGTGTAGTATATAGTAGTGTAGTATATAGTAGTGTAGTGTATAGTAGTGTAGTGTATAGTAGTGTGGTATATAGTAGTGTAGTATATACTAGTGTAGTATATACTAGTGTAGTATATACTAGTGTAGTATATACTAGTGTAGTATATACTAGTGTAGTATATACTAGTGTAGTATATAGTAGTGTAGTGTATAGTAGTGTGGTGTATACTAGTGTGGTATATACTAGTGTGGTATATAGTAGTGTGGTGTATACTAGTGTGGTATATAGTAGTGTGGTATATACTAGTGTAGTGTATAGTGTAGTGTAGTATATACTAGTGTAGTGTATAGTAGTGTGGTATATACTAGTGTAGTGTATAGTGTAGTGTATAGTAGTGTAGTGTATACTAGTATAGGGTATAGTAGTGTAGTGTTGTAAGGACGAGCAGACTTCTTTAGGAGGCACACTCTGTTTATTGTATTATTTCCTTATACAACGCTTAACACACACAGAGGGATATTCGGTCCCCTCACCCGATACCCTAGGGAGGTACAGCCTCCGGACCTGGCGGGACTCACACGTCTACCGCTAACCTCCTTGATACCTAAGGAGGTACAACCTCCGGACTTGGCGGGACTCACACGTCTACCGCTATCCTAGTCCTCCGGCTAGGACCTAGGGGAGGCTATCTGACCCACCGCTGGCCCGGTGGGTCCTGACCACTGGATATGCCGAGCCTTAGCCCTTAGAAGGGCTGAAAGGCTGGTCCAGGGTCCTAGCTAGGCTTCAGCCCAGTCTTCTATCTTCGTGCAGGGAGAGAACTCCCCGAGGTCCGTTGGGTCACCCGTCTTATACCCCTTCGTGGCCAGGTAGAACCAATCATACATTCCCACGTGGAACCGTCTGATTGGTTCGCACCAAACCCTGGCCACGATCCGTTTCACCTCGACTGACCCCAACCGTTGTACCCCGGGGTAATGCTGCACTGCCCTGGTGGCAACGCAGGTTACGCAACAGCGCGTAGTTAACACCTCTACACTAGTATAGTGTATAGTAGTGTGGTATATACTAGTATAGTAGTGTAGTATATACTAGTGTAGTGTATAGTAGTGTGGTATATACTAGTATAGTGTATAGTAGTGTGGTATATACTAGTATAGTGTATAGTAGTGTGGTATATACTAGTATAGTAGTGTGGTATATACTAGTATAGTGTATAGTAGTGTGGTATATACTAGTGTAGTGTATAGTAGTGTGGTATATACTAGTGTAGTGTATAGTAGTGTGGTATATACTAGTGTAGTGTATAGTAGTGTGGTATATACTAGTGTAGTGTATAGTAGTGTAGTGTATACTAGTATAGGGTATAGTAGTGTGGTATATACTAGTATAGTGTATAGTAGTGTGGTACATACTAGTATAGTAGTGTAGTATATACTAGTGTAGTGTATAGTAGTGTGGTATATACTTGTGTAGTGTATAGTGTAGTGTATAATAGTGTAGTGTGTAGTGTATATTGCAGTGTATAGTGCAGTGTATAGTTCAGTGTATAGTGCAGTGTATAGTGTAGTGTATAGTGTATCGTATAGTGCAGTCTATTGTGTAGTGTATAGTGTAGTGTATTGTGTAGTGTATTGTGCATTATGTATGTACGTGTGTTGAACTTCTTCCGCACCATACGTAGCCAACTGTGCTTATCGGAGGTGGTGGGGGGGGGGGGAAAGACAACAAACTAACACACAACAACAACAACAACAAACTAACACACAACAACAACAAACTAACACAACAACAACAAAACTAACAACAACAAGAAAGGCGTTTCTCACTGCTTGATTGGCGTGCATGACTGCTGCCCCGCACCCCCCCTGCCCCCCCCCCCCCCTCGCTGCCCCCCCCCCTCTCCCGCTGCCCCCCGCGCCCGTGCAGCGCAAGCACCAGGAGATCCGCGCCATGAAGAGCCAGCTGAAGAAGATCGAAGACCTGGGCGCTGCCATGGAGGAGGCACTCATCCTGGACAACAAATACACGGAGCACAGCACTGTGGGGCTGGCGCAGCAGTGGGACCAGCTGGACCAGCTGGGCATGCGCATGCAGCACAACCTGGAGCAGCAGATACAGGCCCGGTGAGAGGGTCGCACCGCTCTCACCGCTCGCGCTCGGTCGCACCGCTCGCTCGCTCGCTCGCTCCACGCTCGCTCGGTCACTCGCACCGCTCGCTAGCTCACACCGCACCGCTCTCCGCGATCGTTCACTCTGCTCGCACCGCTCGCCCGGTCCTCGCCGCTCGCTCCTCACAGCTCGCTCGCATCGCTCGGTCACACCGCTCGCTCGGTCCTCGCCGCTCGCTCCTCACAGCTCGCTCGCATCGCTCGGTCACACCGCTCGCTCGGTCCTCGCCGCTCGCTCGCTCGTTCCTCGCCGCTCGCTCGCTCGGTCCTCACCACTCGCTCGGTCCTCGCCGCTCGCTCGCTCGTTCCTCGCCGCTCGCTCGCTCGCTCGGTCCTCACCACTCGCTCGTTCCTCACCGCTCGTTCCTCACCGCTCGCATCGCTCGCTCCTCACCGCTCGCTCCTCACCGCTCGCTCCTCACAGCTTGCTCGCATCGGTCGGTCACACCGCTCGCTCGTTCCTCGCTCGCTCGGTCCTCACCGCTCGCTCGTTCGTCACCGCTCGCATCGCTCGCTCCTCACCGCTCGCTCCTCACAGTTTGCTCGCATCGCTCGGTCACACCGCTCGCTCATTCCTCGCCACTCGCTCGCTCGTTCCTCGCCGCTCGGTCCTCACCACTCGCTCGTTCCTCACCGCTCGCTCCTCACAGCTTGCTCGCATCGGTCGGTCACACCGCTCGCTCGTTCCTCGCCGCTCGCTCGCTCGGTCCTCACCGCTCGCTCCTTCGTCACCTCTCACATCGCTCGCTCCTCACCGCTCGCTCCTCACAGCTTGCTCGCAGTGGTCGGTCACACCGCTCGCTCGTTCCTCGCCGCTCGCTCACTCGGTCCTCACCACTCGCTCCACACACTCGCTCCACGTGGACCCGCGCAGTAACCACACACACACGCGCCACATACGCACACACACACACACAACACGCACACACACACAACACGCATACACACAATGCACGCGCTCGGAGCACTGGCCGTGGGGGTGACGCCGGTGTGCGCGTGTCTGCAGGAACACGACGGGCGTCACAGAGGAGGCCCTCAAGGACTTCAGCATGATGTTCAAGTGAGTCGCCCCCTCTCGCTCGCTCGCACGCACGCACTCACGTGTGTGTGTGTGTGAATCGTTCAGTTGGGGGTACAGCCGGGTGTGCGTCTACCGGTCATCTCAGTCGGCCAACCCGTGGCACCTGTAGGGGTCTGTCCCGAGACCTCCTGCATACGCGGTTCCACTTGTGTGTTCCGACACGTGGCGTGTGTCCGACACTTGCACGCACGAGTAACCCCCGCCACCCCCCCCCCCCATCGCCGCCCCCCCACAACCGCGACACGTCCGCCAGGCACTTTGACAAGGACCGCTCGGGCCGCCTCAACCACCAGGAGTTCAAGTCGTGCCTTCGCTCGCTGGGCTACGACCTGCCCATGGTGGAGGAGGGCGAACCCGACCCGGAGTTCCAGAACATCCTCAACATCGTCGACCCCAACCGGTAACGCCGCCGCCGCAGTCCCTCCCTCCCGCCCGTCGTCGTCGCGCCCCGGGGGCGGAGCCAGGATTTTAATTTCAAGAATGATTTAGAGAGTCGGGCTGTTGAGCTAGACGCCGTCGGTTGGCGACACGCTCTGACGATGCAGTTGCACGGAGTCCGCCAGACCGAGTGTCGTACACTTATACGCAGAATGTCACCCCGGTCACACCCCCCCCCTGGCTCCGCCCCTGGTCGCGCCGGCCCACCCACCCACCCCCCCACCCACCTCACCCACCCCACCGTCCGTGTCATCATCATCATCACGTGGAGATTTCTAGCAGCAGCCAAATATAATCTGAACCCCCCTGATGTCGATTCTAAATGCGGAGGGGGTAAAAAGCCCGAGGAGAGAGACACGCAGACTCCAAATATACAGCAGCAGGCGTCAGGGTCGGGGTCAAACCCACGACCTCCTGTAGACCAGGCGAGGTAGTTAACATCTCCTAGCCACCGTGATGATGATGAGAGAGAGAGAGAGACACCGAAAACTCCAAATATACAGCAGCAGCAGCAGGCGTCGTCAGGGTCGGGATCGAACCCACGACCTGCTGTGGACCAGGCAAGGTAGTTAACATCTCCTAGCCACCGTGATGATGATGAGAGAGACACGCAAACTCCAAATATACAGCAGCAGGCGTCAGGGTCGGGGTCGAACCCATGCCCTCCTGTATACCGGGCTAGAGCAGTGCGGGAACTGGGCACCTGTGCATTGAGTGGCAGCAGGAATCGGTTTGTGCTGAGCTCTGATACACAGTGAGTCGGCACGTCAACGCGAGGGTGGCTGGGCTAGTGTGTGATCGGGTGAGCGTGTGGGCGAGTGAGCGAGTGGGTGAGTGTGTGACTACGCGAGAGAGCGAGCGGGTGAGCGAGCGAATGTGTGATTGGGAGAGCGAGTGGGTGTGTGACTACGCGAGAGAGCGTGCGGGTGAGCGAGCGGGTGAGTGATTGGGAGAGCGAGTGGGCGAGTGAGCGAGTGGGTGAGTGTGTGACTACGCGAGAGAGCGAGTGGGTGAACGAGCGGGTGCGTGATTGGGAGAGCGAGTGGGCGAGTGAGCGAGTGGGTGAGTGTGTGACTACGCGAGAGAGCGAGCGGGTGAGCGAGCAAGTGCGTGATTGGGAGAGCGAGTGGGTGAGTGTGTGACTACGCGAGAGAGCGAGCGGATGAGCGAGCGGGTGCGTGATTGGGAGAGCGAGTGGGCGAGTGAGCGAGTGGGTGAGTCTGTGACTATGCTAGAGAGCGAGCGGGTGAGCGAGCGAGTGCGTGATTGGGAGAGCGAGTGGGCGAGTGCGTGACTACGTGGGTGAGCGAGCGGGTGAGCGAGCGGGTGAGCGAGCGAGTGCGTGATTGGGAGAGCGAGTGCGCGATCGGATGGGCGGGCGGGCGGGCAAGCGAGCGAGCGTTGCGTTTTTGTCGTTGCAGGGACGGGCAGGTGTCGCTGCAGGAGTACATGGCGTTCATGATCAGCCGCGAGACGGAGAACGTGAAGTCGTCGGACGAGGTGGAGAGCGCCTTCCGGGCTCTCAGCGCCGAGGGGAAGCCCTTCGTCACCAAGGAGGAGCTGTACCAGGTGCCCCAACGCACGCGCGCACGCACCACACGTGCACACGCCACACGTACACACGTACGTACGTACACGACACGCACATCACTATCTCCGTGCTCCCCTGCCGCACGCACGCACGCACGCGTACACGTAAACACACCGCACGTACACACACCACAGCCGTCATTCACCGGTCAGTCGCGACAACGTCGCCCCCCCTCTATCACTGCCACCCCCACTTCCTGCCCTACAGTCTGTTCACGCTACATGGAGGTGTCGTGTGTGTGTGTGTGTGCGTGTATGTGGTGGTGGTGATGTGTGTGTATGTAAGTCATAATCTTGCTTTATACCCGAAGAATCCGATGAGCTACAAAGCTCTTTTTTCCAGCACGTATGAACGTGCATTGGACTTCCTCTCGCGCGCATCGTACGACGTAGGCGCTAATAGGTGGCGAGCGTGTGCGCGCGTGTTCGTGCGCATGTGTGCGCATGTGTGTGTGTGCTTACAGTGGGGAGCGGTGGTCTAGCGGTTAGCGCTACGCCGCGCTGCGAACCCGGCGTCCCGAGTTCGATTCCCGCCCACGGCCAACACCGGTGACGATTATCTGAACCGGTCCCGGGCATGCCCTAGGTCGACTCAGCCTCAAAATGAGTACCTGGTGTAGCGGTGCTTAGTAATTTCGCCGCTGGGGGACACAAAGGCTGCCGGGCGTGGTGCTGGCCACACCACCCCCTCGTGCACCAGGCGGTGCTCGCTTAACGGCTCTTGCCCCTGCAGCCTGTTGAGGCTACACTGTGGGGATCTTTGTTCTTGTGTGCTCACCCTCCGTATGTGTCTCCCCCCCCCCCCCCCCCCACCTGTGCGGGAGCAGAACCTCACGCGGGAGCAAGCCGACTACTGCATCTCGCACATGAAGCCGTACTGCGACGGCAAGGGTCGCGAGCTGCCCGGCGCCTTTGACTACATCGAGTTCACGCGCTCGCTCTTCCAAAACTAGCACGGCCACCCCGCCCCCATCCCCAATCCCTCCTTGCACTCGCTCACCCCACAGCGCGCTCACGCTCACTCACGCTCACCCCACAGCGCGCTCACTCACGCTCACCCCACAGCGCGCTCACGCTCACTCACGCTCACCCCACAGCGCACTCACTCACGCTCACCCCACAGCGCGCTCACGCTCACTCACGCTCACCCCACAGCGCGCTCACTCACGCTCACCCCACAGCGCGCTCACTCACGCTCACCCCACAGCGCGCTCACTCACGCTCACTCACGCTCACCCCACAAGCGCGCTCACGCTCACCCCACAGCGCGCTCACTCACGCTCACCCCACAGCGCGCTCACTCACGCTCACCCCACAGCGCGCTCACTCACGCTCACCCCACAGCGCGCTCACGCTCACTCACGCTAACCCCACAGCGCGCTCACGCACACTAACCCTTAGGAACATTCACACACACCCACTAACCCTGGGGAACACTCGCACACACAGAACACTCACTCGCATGGAACACACACACACACTAACCCCCACTCACACACACACACACTAACCCCCACTCACACACTAACCCCCACTCACACTCACGCACTAACCCCCACTCACACTAACCCCCAAACCCTCACACACACCAACCCCTGCAGCACGCTCGCTAACCACAGCTCAGCGGCGCGCATCTCTCACCGCACGCCGCTGCATCGCGCTTCTTGCAGTAGTTGTAGTAGTCTCCGTCGCACTGCGACGGCGTTAGCTCTGTTCGCCGTTAGCGCCGGGCTCACCCGGTCAACCCCCCCCCCCCACCGCCTGTCTCCCCCGCAATGAGACGAGAGCCTCTAATCGGTGAAATCGGTGCGTGGCCGGCGGTGTTGGCGGCGTCGTCGTCGTCGTCCGGTGCAGGGCTGTGTAAATCGGCTGTGTAAATCGGCGGTGATTTTAGGGAAAATGCGGTGCGCGGTCGGTCGGTCGGGAGAGCGAGAGAGAGCGAGACGGCAAGTGAGCGTCGCAACTACGGTCTCCGTACGGTCTCCGTACTGTCTCCGTACTGTCTCCGTCCGGTCTCCGTACGGTCTCCGTACGGTCTCCGTACGGTCTCTGTCCGGTCTCTGTCCGGTCTCTGTCCGGTCTCTGTCCGGTCTCTGTCCGGTCTCTGTCCGGTCTCTGTCCGGTCTCCGTACGGTCTCCGTACAGTCTCCGTCCGGTCCACGGGCGAGGGGATGGACCAAGTCTTTTTTTGAACGGCGGCGATGATGACGACGACAACGACGATTCTCGTCGGATGGAATTGGCACGTTGGCTCATGGCGTTGGCGGCGGCGGTGATGATGATGACGACGGCGGTGATTTTGCCGGCGGCGACGACGACGACAATTCTCGTCGGATGGAATTGGCACATTGACCGATGTGGTTGGCGGCGGCGGTGACGACGATGGGGGAAGGCGGCGGCTGCCGCCGCTACCCTGACGTCCGGCACGGTTGTTGGTTGAACTCCTTTTGCGCGCCACCGTGCCGTGGCCAAACCGTCGCCAAATCGGAGGTGCGGTAAGTGGGGGGGGTGTGGGGGGGGGTGCGAAAGGACGACAACACTAAACACAACGACGAGCAGTTTTAAAGAAAGAGTTTTCACGACCTCCTGTCGAGGCCTCCGGCTCCGGTCGGCGAGTCGGGTAGGCCCGGTGATTTCGGTCGGCTCGGTCTCGTGGGCGGGGGGGGGGGTTGACGGTGTTAGTCTCGCCGGCGCGCGTAGTTTTAGCACGTGTGTATGTGTGTGCGCGTGTCTGTTCGTCCGTGTCCAAATAAATCCGCTTGCACACCCACCAGCACTCCGCCGCCGCGTCTTCTCTATAAGCTGTACGATTTAAACTTGTTTAATAGTACCGGGTGAGGGCCCTACTCGGCGCTCTGTGTGCAGCTCTTTTATTTTTCTATTTTTGAGAAGCTAACCTGGCCGTCACAAACGATGCAACGACGAGAGAGAGAGACACGCAAGCTCTAAATATACAGCAGCAGGCATCGTCGGGATCGATAGCCACGACCTCCTGCATACCAGGCGAGGTAGTTAACATCTCCTAGCCACGGGGGGGGGGGGGGGGGGGGAGGACAGAGAGAGACACCGCAACTCCAAATATAGATGAGAGGTGAAGTGATGAGAGATAGTGACGTGTGTTGGAGAGCTAAGGGGCCGTCCATAAATGACGTCACGCACCTGGGGGGGGTTTGAGAAACGTGACGTCACATCAAAATGCGCAACTTTAAATAAATATAGACAACGCGTTCTACTTAATTACTTTTTTAAATAAATGTTTTCACCTACAACATCAGAGTGCAGCGCCACATTAAATACGCACTACAATGACAATAGTTTAAAGCGATTTGAAGCATGTTTTATTTGGGGGGGGGGGGGGGGGGGGGCAGAGCTTTGTGACGTCATATTTGAGGGGTCTGACTTTTTGTGACGCCGTGTGACGTCATTTATGGACGGCCCCCAAGCCACAACATTGGCAATCTTGAGTACGACGTTTCGCCAGTAATGACAACCAGCTTCATCAGGCGACAGACAGATTTGTGGAGCAATACTCCTGTTTCATTCCTGAAACATCTACCCCCCCCCCCCCCTCCTCGATTTCAGGAACGTAACGGGAGGATTTCCCCACGAATTCGACGTTCTGGACAAGAGTTCCACTCGTCCCTAAACATCGAATTCCTCCTCCACAGTAATAATGAAAGATTCTGAAATAATAGCTCAAGTTTTTATTTTATTTTACCAGGTTAAGGGCCCCCCCCCACCCCCGGCTATCGCAAATGATGGCAGCACAACACAAAGTGGGCTCGTCATCATCACGTGGACATTGCAGCAGCCAAATACTATATAAACGTATTCTATGGGTCTTTCGGTAAAGCCACGTGTATCGAAAAATAAAAAAGTAATATTTAAAAAATAAATGTAAACACGCTTTAATGAAATGTACCCGTACTAGTAATGGAAGAACCCCCACGACTCCAGGAAGTGGGTCCCGAAGTTTGCCCACAACGTAAGGGGACCGTGGTCCAATTACAGCCAACGTCAGTTGAGCGTGGACAATTAAAGCCAAGCCGAAACCATTTAAAAATTTTTGATTTAAAGCTTTCGTGACTGCAGTAATTCATATTCTTAGTTCTTTCGGTAAAGTCACGTTGAAGGGAAACAACAAAATAATAATATATGTATTACCGAAAGAACTAAGAATATACATTTAAAAAATGTTGAAAAATAATAAAAAAATATTTCTAACGATAGAATATAATATTGTCATCAGTATGACATAATTTCGATTTAAAGCTTTCGTGACTGCAATGATTCATCTTCTTTGGTTCTTTCGGTAAAGTCACGTAGAATGATAATAAAATAATAAATTGATATTATTTTATTTTATCAATTTATTATTTTATTATCATTCTACGTGACTTTACCGAAAGAACCAAAGAAGTATGACATAAGTTTACCAAGTTTGCAGTCGAAACCACATTGGGAAGTGGGTTAAAATTGCGTTACAAGATTTTAGGATACAACAATAAAAAGCGTGCAATTAAATATCTCAACACAAGCAGTCGCCGTTCCCAGCTGAAGACGAGTTGCTTGTGTTGCGATCGAAACGTCGTGATATTTTAATTCTTATTTTACTTCTATCTACGTGGCTTTACGGAAAGACCCAAAGAATATGCATTCCTGCAGTCACGAAAGCTTTGAAGTCACAGATTTTACTATGAACGTGTTTTCTACAGACTCGTAGAGACCCACAGAGACCCATACTACAGACCCATAGAGACAT